AAACTTAAAAATAACACTCAATTTAATTGATATCTCCTTACATTAATTTCTGTTAATTTTAATTTGTCTTTTGTTTATAATGGAATGGATATTTGTAGCATTACCGAGTTTTAAACTATTTACTTCGTAAATACACATAAATGACACGTGTATGTAATAGGCGTAAAATCGCGGTTAATTCGTAACAAAGCTGCTCGGCAATAACCCACGTATTGTAAATTTAGTACAACCATTGACACTCATAAGCGTATCGGCTAGAAGTGAGTATAATATCTCAATTATCGTAAACTTTGGCACGTGACTACGCTATTTGTATCGCATATATTCTTTTAATATACATATATCCGATTAATAAATGTAAAATCCTTGTTAATAACACAGAGTATACTTATATGACGAAAACTACTTTGATAGTTCATCAAATTTATATCACTGATATTAGGATTCACTATGTAGAATGTATTATTCAATTTTTTTATATCATAAATAACACTTTAAATAGCACGTGTCGTGATAGGATTATTATTTTCCAATATAATTCTTCTTTACTGGATTCACTCAAGTGATATCGTATCACTATATAAGTCCAAGTATTATTATCTGAATTAAATAGATATGTTTAATAGAACTTGACAAACTATTTATTTGTGGCCAGTTCGGAATACATCTGAAGTGTCAGAACGTTAGTTTCAATATTAATTGTATAGTTACACACGTGTCAGACACGTGACGGGATATTCTGCGGTTAAATGTTTCCCATAGTTGTTCAATTATCATATTAGTACACTTTACTTCATAACAATTCTGTTTATATTATCGAGAAATAAAATTAAAAAAAAAACTAGAAAACAAATAAATTTAACATTTAATGTATTAAAAACTTTCAAATATACTAAACACACTTTTTAATTTCTAATAATGTTTCATAGTGACAAAATAATATTCTCCATTTTCACATTTTCTCGTAAGCATTATATTATGTTAAATCACTTTTAAATAGCTTGAAATTACAAGAGCGGGTGGTTGAGGTCTACAGAGCGCATCTAATCGATTCGATACTCCTTTTTGACATCACTCGTGTGATTCTACGTATTTACACACCGAGTATAGTAAGTATTTTTCTTCTTATAATTACATATTATTATTATTATTATTATTATTATTATTATTATTATTATTATTATTATTATTATTATTATTATTGATAGGTAGAAAATTTTACAATAACAATTTTTTTTTACACTATTACTACATTTGTACTTTTGAGGAGAGAGTTCAAATACTCATCTACTTAACGTATGATACTTGAAACAAATTCTATCATATTATTGTTTTTTAAATGCATCATAAAATACATTTAATTTTAAGAAATATAAATAGCTATTAAATATATTGTAAATTTAACAGGAAAAGTATGATTTTTCAATTATATTTCAAAAGTTATTGACGATAATAAAAACTATAGTATGTATATGCTTAATACTGTAAAATTCAAGAGCGCGAAAATCCTTCGAGGTAACGCCCATTCATATTTTTTTTTCGATCAAAGAAAAACATCAAAGATATACCGCATCTCTTCAATTTATTACTAAACTAAAAACCAACATATATGGTTACACATTAAATATAAGTAGAGGAGAAATTTTCGACAGACAAAGATCCCGCAAATTTACTGTAAAGCTATATTTTTCAAATTATTGCCGCTTTCTTTGACCCTCTCAAAAAACTCTTAAACTTTCTTTACCCTCTGGGAAAAATTTTTTAGTTATAAATCAGAGAAATTACTCAGTATTTTGTTCATAAATTTATAGAAAAAAATTTTAAAAAATTGATTTTTGTTAAAAAAAAACAATAACTATCACAGTGTAAAAAGTATACCCGTCATTTATACATTTTTGATGGTACTCAATTTTTTCTAACCATCATTTTTTTTTTTTTAATATTCTAAAAATTAAAAAACTTCATTTTTTATTATTCCAATTTTATATTTCTGTTAGAAAAAGGATATTGTTTTTATATTAAATATGTTTAATAATTTTTTCAGTCGCCGATACTATTTATCAAGGTACGTATCGCTGTATAATTCGTACTTTGTAGGACACACACAACGATAAAGTGCATAAAAGTATGGACAGATGGTTGAGTCTTTGCCCCAATCTTTCAGTTCAAGTCTATTTCATGTATTGTAGTGTGAGTTTGTATATGTAAGGGGATACAAATACTAAAGCATACTAAACAATAGTTAAATCAGGGTACGGATCGTTCGAGGGGAGCCGTGGGTGTTTAATGAGCTGCCGCATATAGCTTGAGGCCTATCCTGTGATTCGTTGGTTACGCCATTGAGGGATGTCAGGGAGTAGAAATGTCGTTTCATGACAGAAAAAGAATCTACGCCACTTGACTACTACTGGTAGTATAACTCTACGTGTAAAGTGTTCAAATAACACTCACATATTTATGATTAAATTATCTATTAATATTATTTCCATATTAAATAGTTTATTTGTTAATCATATGAAATAAAATTATTAATTAAAGTAAAACGTTATTATTGCGTTTTTCAAATAAAAAATCATAGAATTTATAATAGTTTTTTTAAATTATTGGATTAATTACAATATTTACTAAAGCATCTTATCGTAAACTTTTTTAAATTTTTCATTCTTTTTATTGTTCAACATCTATAGATAATGCATTTGAATTCAATTCAAAAAAGTAAATAAATTCCATATCAAATAAAATAGACACAACTTGTAATCCGACTTAAGTTTACCCTAGTAAGCTAATAAATTTTTTTCACTTTCTTTATTATACATTCATATATAAATGTTTTTTTTTTTTTAATCACATCAATTTATCGATTTGTCTTAAGCTCAACCATAAACGTCAAATTTCTACTACTTTACATCGGATTAAATTGAACGACATACGATTGATAATGTTAAGCAATATTTTTTGTAATCAATTACGGAATAAATATAGTAAATATAGAGCAATAGATAAAATAGTTGATAAATAAAATCACATTTTAATAGGTAAATGCTACGTCAAACTTAAAAACATTCTTTCAGTAAATTATGGCTTTGAATGGCAGCGCGACAGGAGGTTGGTTGGCACGCGTACGTCAGTTTACACCTGCCTTTCTGTAGACATCTGTCATTTGAAAACCTCAGCCACACGAGTTAAGCTGAATTTTTTTTTATTTATTTACATGTATGTAATATTGATTTTTGTGCGAAATATTAATATTAAAAATTCCTTTCACGATAAAATGAAGAATAATATACATCAAAATAAAAAAGTAAATAAATATGTAACTCAAAACCACGATACTATTCTACATTGTACAAAATTACAGATATTTTATAAATCATAGCTTAAAGTGAATCATACTGTTCGTTTAAAATTAAAGATATAAGTCTGCAAATGCAATTATTACAAGAAAACCAAAAATTACCCTTCTCATTCCTATCTCATTTAGTAAATATTTGATTAAAATCTACCAATATTACACTGTGTGATACTCATCAATTTTTTCTTTATTCTTTAAAATAATAATCTTGTTACGTTTAAAAAATTTCATGTATAATATTACTTGAATATCTTTTATAATATTTGCTTCCGTTTATAGCCACTGTATTTATTTGTTAATTGTACCATCAAATCATAGCTATTAATCATCGATTAAATGCTCAAAATAATTAGTCAGGGTAATTTCATGAATTTTCGTGAACCAGGAAAATGTTTTCTCCCCTTCATTATTTTCCTCTGGTGAAGTCATTTCTTCATTCTTCTCTGCAGTCCTGTCATTTTTACCCCTCAAAGAGGGTTCACCTATGCCACCAGTATGTCACTATACAGACCAGCACCCCTACACAATGAGCAACAGTAGTTTTATGCTATGGTAATGGATCGATATGTGCACTCGATGATAATAACCACACCAAAATGCCTATTGACAAAATATAACACTAAAAACTGTTATCGATGTGAAAAATTTATCATAAATATTTTATAATAAAAAATTATACGATTTAATTGTTAATAAATACATCTATCAGTTGATTTTTTTTTTGTGCATATGTACAGAAATGAATTTAATATAACTTATTAACTTGGTAATTAATAATTTTTTGTATCTAAAATCAACTATTATTTATAAAATGGAGTATTTAAATTTCAATATATTCTAAAATATTAACATTAACCATATTTTACTAAATACAAAAATGATGTTTTTAATGATTTATTAAAATAATTTTGCACTCGGATCGAATACAATAACATAAGATGTGATTTAGCCTGTGGTAATTTTGATACTGTTTTAGTCACGTGCCAGGGCACGTGCAAAAATTCAGTAGCATCTCTTTTCATTCCTATAGAGTGTATAAATTGTTTAATCATAATCACATCATAACCTTAGGAAATTTCTTAGAAAATTTATATCAACGAAAAAATATGAAAAATAATATTTTTTATTCAAAGTATTTATTTTTAATAAAATAAATTTACTTTTATTATTAAAAAAGACAATATGCTGTACAATATATAAATTACGCTTTTTTAATTGTAATTTAATTTAAGAGCACTGACAGAGGAATAGTTGATAGTTCGTTTATTTTATTTTTATTTAATATGAAAATAAGTATATTATATAATATAAGAATATAAATAAATTTAAAAATTATATACTCATATTCATACAAATGGTAGTAAAGATCAATATTAGCATTTAAATATATAACTTATAAGCAGAAAGTCTTTGACTAGATGATACAATTGATGCAGTCTATGCAATTGTACTTTGAATTATTCTCACAATAAATTAATGAAGCATAAAATTTTAGCTTCAAAATTTTACTGTAGATAAATAAAGCAATCTCTTATAAAGTAAATAACATTCTGATTAATCAATATATCAATTATGTAAGTGATAATTAATAAAATAGATTGTCATAAAAATATTAAGTTATTCTACAATTTTTTTTTTCGTTTTTAAATTCTATATTGTAGTTGATCAAATCAATTCCACTGCACATTTTGGACACTTATAATTATTTGAAGCACTCACAATTTCAAAGACACTGATAGGAATTATTAGGTCCCATAAAATGAGTTTGATCAAGTTGATGTTGAAGATGAACATGATGAGGATATTGCTGTGATCGTTGATCATAACAAGAAATTTGATACTGAATAGGTGGGCTAATACTTTGATCACTATAGCAATCGTATTCATGCCATTCTGGTACAATTCGTTCTTGAGGATATGGATATGGAGGATGACTGGGACCGAGACGTTTTTGTGCTGCTACAGCGCAACTCCCTGTTGAAGACGTAATCATATTGCCGTTTTCACTGATACTAACTGTTACGTTCCCAACATTAACAGTAATTTCACCAGTTTCTGCATTTCCCAAAGTTTGTGACAATGCCCAAATATAATTATGAGCAAATCTTAGAGTTTCTATTTTGGTAAGTTTAGTATCTTCAGGAAATGTTGGTAATGCCATACGTAATCGTTCTAAAGCATCATTCAAAGTATGCATCCGATGTCGTTCTCTGTCATTTGCCTTTATTCTTCGTGATCTTTTTAGTCTCAGTACCTATAAAAATAATAATTGACAATCATTTTTACGTATCTTTTTTCTATTTCACTTTAAAAAAAATATTTTAATATAATATTATATCAAATATATGTTATTAAATGTGATTTAGAAGATTATCCGAATTGAAATACCTGAGTTGGGCTTTTGCATCGTGTGTTTCTTCCTTTTTTTCTCTTCTCTTCTTTTATTGGCGGAAAAAGTGAATCAACTGACATTATATCATGCTTTGGTGATTCAAAACTGATATCAAAACCTGAATCTGAAGAACTTGAAAGTTCATCAAAACAATTTTCGCTACCATATGAATATTCCGATGACATTCTGAAAAAATACAACTTATTTTAAACATTTCAAGTAAATTAAATTATTTAATCAACAGACAAAAAACTTACGCAATATCTTTTTTTGTTAAAAAAAAAAAAAAATCACTATAATATTTGTCAAAAGTAAAATTATAATCGAAATAGCATGCTTATAAGCAACATCTAAAAAATAATCTAAATGACTGAATCGTCGACGACGAACCGATAAACTCGGGGTACGAATCGTCACTGTGCTTGTACTAAGGGTCTCTTGAGGCATATATAGGAGAAGTATTGGGGGTTGCTTCCAGTTTGTTATCCCCCTCTATATATCCTCTTGTATTGGGGTACCCATGAATGAGAGCTTCACCCTGTTATCGGCTGTAAGGGGTCCCGGTTTTTCTCCACCCCTCTCCAATACATTGTAAGCGCGTGCCATACGTCGAGAAGCAGACGCCTCGTTTTAGGATTAGAGGTTTCCTGCGCGATTGGACTTGGCTCTTTCTGCCTTTACTTATAATAAACTGCCTATGATTTGCTGATGATAATTAATTTTTAATTATTTTCTTATTTCGAAAAAAAGTTAGAAACATCATTAGCACCATTTAATTATATTTACAACAAATGTGGGTTCAATAATTTTATTCATATTTCATCTTCTACTATAATTTTTTTTCTCTATCAACAATTCAATATGCAAATTTATCAATAAATATATCAAACTTGTTTAAATAAATATTATAGTTTCTTCTTCATTATACAATAGTATATGTCAACTATTTTCTATTAAGAATTGAACATTTTAAATTCATTATGTATCATAGAAAACAATATTATTTTGCAATGCTTATATTAACTGAAATATATAATTATTATTAAAAAAAAAAATTCATGTTATGTAAATAAAATATAATTATAGTTCAGACAATTTAAAAATTTTTTCAGAAATTAAGTAAGTAAAAATTGTACTTATTTTTGTTTTTTTTACTTAATTGAAAAATTAAAAACAAATACTTACTTTTAAATGTAACAGGAAAAAAATAAAAATACTCGATGTAAGTAGGATGACGACGATATACCTGTGACTAGGATCAAGTGGAAGATAATCTAATAAAGACCATATGTTGCTTCTGCTCATCAACTGATAATAAATTGCTATAGAAACCATAGTGTTAATCAAACTTCTATGACACTATCAGGATTTAATGTTACTTATCCATTTGTAATTTTTTTTTTTTTAAAAAAAGTAATATTAAATTATTTATTTTACATTTTCACTATTTTAACGCCTTTTAAATTATTTTTACTTGCAATTATTGATCTCACCATCATCTCTGTTTCATTCATTTTAATATTGACTTTAATAACTATTTCGATGTTTCTATGAACTGTGTGTATTGGTTATTAGCATATGACTAACTCATGAATTTTCGAATGATCAACTTCAATACTTCAATGTGTAAACATATGCGCTTTCGAACGATTCAACATTCTGTGACGAATTTAGGCTATAAATTATTAGAAATTAGTGTTGAGAAAATTTTTATACAAAAAAAAAAAATCATCTTCTAAAATGCTTCATTAGAGAATACCTAATAAAAAAAATGGAAAATCATTTTTAATTAGAAAAGAAAAATATTTATTATATGAATTAATCATTAAGAATTATAAAACATGTGTATGGAGTTTGAAGATGTAACATTCATTACAGTAAATTAATGACGTAAATCATAAACTTACAAAAAAAATGTAAACTTTCACTTCTTATGTGAGACTATTTACACCAACAATCATATTGTTTAGGTAACAAAATATTATAATTTTTAAGTATATTACATCTTACCTTACGAATAAAATTAAAAAATTACCAAAAAAAAAAATTAAACTTCTTTATAACTATTAGCGATGGATATTCCAATCGTTATATTACAAGTTATGTTCGAATATATATATGAAAAAAAATGTTTTATATTAACTGAGGGTTAAAAAATATTGGAAATTACACGAAAGATTTGTTGGCTGTGCGTAAAAAATTGTAGATCAAATAAAAGGGTTTTACTCATGTTCTTTTTTCAATTCAATCTGACAATTCGTTACGATTTGATAATATATATTGGCCATGAATCGGGTTAACCGTCACAACTGATTGCCCAGATGTCTCGAGTAAATTTAACAACAAACGTAGGGAAGTCTAAAATAAAAATCACGCAAAACATCAAAGTTAACTTTTGACTTATTTGTATCGTAAAAAAATCTTTTGCTAAAATTTATTTTTTTTACTTATCGAAAAGAAAAGGAAAAAATAAAATGATAGGAACGTGATATTAAACAATCACCGAATGAAGAAACATCGTGAGAAATAGACTATGTGTTTGGTAGTATTTCCACTCTCTTTTATTTTTCGAATGTTGATCATAATGTCCAGTATTTCTCAGGAGTAGCAAATGAGATATATTACAGTGAGCTTCACTCACAACGCATGCCTTTCTCTGCTCCTTCTCACCGTTACGAGCAACAAGTTGAAGTAACAGTTCGTGCGATGATCTTTCTGACTATCCCACGTCTTGGTAGAAAATTGAAAAGGTCAAACCTTCTCCTTATAAATAACAAAAAAAGCAATAAATAACGTAAGATTGAAAAATTAAATGATCTTCATTCAGATATGTAGTAACCAGTTCACCTCCAGACGCAATCACGCGTTTCAATACTAATATTAAGTATGTTAATGAATTTGTAAAATTTATAAAAATAGGTTTACCGATTTATATATAGATATATGTATATGCATGGCTGGTATTTCATTTGAACATTTCTGTAATTTATGGAGTAAATTACAATGAAGCAATTGACTAAATTCAATCATATAAATAAGATAAAAAAACCATAGTTGCTGTAAAAGTGACCAACTTGACGCTTTTCTCCCTCATCTATTTTCAACTATAATTCTACGATGTCGGTACCTACCTAGAATATAGTAAGATCCGCAGTTACCTGTTAGAGTTACGAGAAATCGACTGTAGACTCTCCTCATTCTTTTTCTTTCAGTTATTTCATTCCTTCCACTCCCCTTAGTTTGAGGCCACATACCTTCTTACGATGCAGTGCTTGCTTGTTCATTGCCTGATCAACACCAGTTCTCCTTTCAATCTTTTTAAATATCTACAAAGATTGACTATTTACACATCAAATAAATACATAAACACAACAAATCTGACTAAAAATGAGTTTTTATTAAATAATTTATTTCAACTTATTAACTATATCTTAAAAAATTGAAGTAATGTAAAAATGAGGTGATTTAAAAGTTGTTTTAAAAATCAATGAAGTGGTGAGTTTTTTTTTTATAACTAGGAGCTGTGTACATAAATATGTTAAAGTAATAATTGATCAATTCAATTATTATAAATAATTTACATATATTAGTTACTACTTACATATAACAAACAATAGCTGAAATTAATACATTAATTAATAATAAGAATTTTAAAATTCCGCTTTAAACACGTAATGCTCCGTTTTATAACGGTTCTTTTTTTCTTTCCTGTGATTAAAAGACATGGCTATTGAGTGGCAACGTGACAGTTAGATTCAACATGCCGTTAATCATACTCGATTCGGTCTGATCTAGATTAGATATCAAATGAAAACGAGTCTGAGTCTTATTAAAAATATCTGAAAAATTCAGGTACATTAACGAGACACAAGTCACGATGTTTTTACGATGAACAGTATTATATGACTAAAGATTAACTAAATCGGTCCAATATTTTTGTAAATAAATTTGAAAAAGTAAATAAGTTCAAAATCGCTTTTATCAATAAACAATTTATTTTATATTAATCTTTATTAACTTATGTTAGAAAATTAAGTATGCTACTTGCACCTATAAATGCTATTTAATCAACTATATTAAATTGTAAAAGAATTACTTATATGCGAAAAATCATATTATTTCTATTTCTGTTAAAACATTTGTAACAGTTTATTTCTTTCATATATTGACTTTATATATATTATTATTAATGAGCATTAATAACTGTAAGATATAAAAATTACATAGAAAATGAATCTCAGTGTTACTTTTTATTATTACAATACAGACATATCCTTGAAGCCATTAGAAAACAGATTGCCATCAGACTTACGTATGTTCCTTGTCTTTTGGTTTTCTAACATGATAAAAATTTACAATTATTCATCAATAATAATATAATACAGACTAAAAAAGGTGTCTGATTTCTAACGGTTTGTTTACTGTATGATTATTCTGTAATGGTTTGCACGATAGAAACAAGAAATAAACCGGTAGCTGTTCAAGCACGTTCTTGACCACAATATGCCTTTTTAGCAACAAAATATTCTGTTATGTTCTTTTAAACGTATAGATTTACTTTTATCAATATAATTGACAAAATCAATTTTTTTAGATAACAATGATGACGATCCTGTTTTTTTGGATCGTATTGATGACTTCATCATACGCTCAAATTATTAATCGAGCTCCTCATTTTATTCATGGAGGTGATATGTCGAGGCTTGCAGTTTCTGAAGGAACACCACCAGGGATTGCCGTTTATACACTACAAGGTGAAGATCCTGAAAATTCTGAACTTCATTATTCAATAAGTGGAGAATATTTTACGGTAAATCGAGATACCGGGGTAGTCACTTTACGAAAACAATTAGATCGAGAAACTCAAGATCTTATTGAAGTTATCATAAGTATTACTGGTAAATATATATTTTTATGTACTTTTACGCATATTTATAAAATCTATATAATTATCAAAAATTTTTAATCTTTTTTACAGATGAAGGTATTGCAGGTTCAGAACCTAATACCGTATCATTAAGAAGAGAAATAGCTGTGTTAGATGAAAACGATAATTCTCCGGTATTCCATGGACGTCCTTACGCAACGAGAATAGCGGAAAGTGCTACCGTTGGTAGTTTATTACTTCCTGAAAATACTATTATAGTGACTGATCAGGATGGTGGTATTAACGCCGATGTCGAAGTCAAATGTGTAACTATGTCAAATGAAGATGATACATGCTCGATTTTTAACATTACCACTGATAAAATTTCTGAAGGAAAATTTGATATTAAAATACATCTAGTACAATTATTGAATTACGAAAGAAGAAGTTCATATCTAATTACACTTCTTGCAACTGATGGTGCTAGTGATTCTACTAAACGACTAAGTTCAAAAGCTACTATTGCCGTTGATGTATTAGATGTTCAAGATCAACCACCTATTTTTTTAAATGCTCCTTATAGTGCTGCTATACCAGAAAATATGTTTCCAGGCTTTACAGTTTTAACAATAAAGGCTCGAGATGGTGATACTGGTGAATCTCGTAATGTCATACTTAATCTTGAAGATGATTACCTTAATCATTTTGAATTAAAGACCTTTCAGGATGGAGACATTACGGTGGGAAATTTAATAACAACTGATGTTGCGCTGGACCGTGAAGAAGCAAAAATTCTTCATGATGGAGGAATTTATACTTTCAAAGTGAGAGCAACAGAATTAATTAATGATGAAATACCGGCAGATACTACCACGTCTATAGTAACTATTGTTGTAACAGACGTTGATGATTTATCACCCAAATTTAATGAAAATTTTTATCATATCAAAGTATTAGAAGATATTGGAGTCGAAACACCTCTTCCCGGTAATTATTCGTTTCTTTTAAATTTTTATTTTCAATTAAATAATATTATTTACTCATTCATTATTTATTTTATTTTAGGTCTTAATATGATAGTTAGTGATGACGATGTAGGTGATAATGCCAAGTTCAATTTATCATTAAGAGATGCACCAGGTTATCCAGGAATTAGTAGAGCTTTTAAAGTAAATCCTGAAAATGCTCATGGTCGTGTTCCTGTAGTAATTAAAGTTAAAGATCCACAAGTTTTAGATTATGACGTTGATGATATTTTAAAACGTGAATTAGAATTTGATGTTACAGCCTCGACAAGTCAAAGAGTTGTTACATTTGCGAGAGTTCATATTAAATTATTAGATGCAAATGATCATTCTCCAAAATTTTCTCAGGATCTCTATCAACTATCTATTCGTGAAGATTCAAAACCAGGTACAAAATTCGGCGATATTTTTGCAACAGACGCTGACAGTGGCATTTTTGGAGAACTAACTTATACTTTACGTGGTTTTGGCGCAGATAAATTTCGTACAGATTCAAAATTGGGAGGAATTTGGGTAGCAAAAACTCTAGATTATGAAATTCAAAAATCATATTCATTAACAATGGAAGCTAAAGATGGTGGTGGAAGAGTAACAACAGTAAATATTCTTATTGAATTAGACGATGTTAATGATAATATCCCAATTTTCGAACACAAAGAATATTCACGAACAATTAGAGAGGAAGCAATAAGTTTTGAACCTCAAATGTTTGTCAGAGCGACTGATGTTGATGGTCCAGCTCATGGAAATGGTAAAGTAACATATTCAATTACGAAACAAAGTGGAATGAATAAAAATGTTTTTGCAATTAATTCTCAAACTGGAGAAATAACAATGAATTACCCAGTTAAATCTGGCGATACTGAAAGGGGACTTTATGAATTAGAAATTCGTGCAACTGACCATGGATATCCTCCTCTTTATTCTGAAATAAAAGTTTTTATTAGAGTTGGTGTTCCTGGAAATCAAAGACCAATTTTTAGAGGAAATTACAAAGGCGGATCACCTGGACCCAATAATTATCGAGCTAGACTTTTAGAAAATGCAAGTTCTGGAACAGAAGTGATTAAAGTTATGGCAAATGATCCTGACGGAAGAGATAGTTTAATTCAGTATTATATTGCATCTGGTGCTAAAGATAATTTCGTTATTGATTCAGTTTCTGGAATTATAACTGTATCTCCAGATGCTCGATTAGATCTTGAAACTGGAGGAGAACAATACAATGTCGTAGTGTATGCTGTTGATTCTGGAACTCCTGTAAGAGAAACGGCAACAACAACAGTCACAGTTTCTATATTAGATGTTAACAATAAACCACCTAAATTTAATAATTTAACTTATTTGGTATATGTCTCTGAAAGAGCTGCATTAGACGATACAGTGCTTAAAGTGTCAGCAACGGATCCCGATTCAGATGCAAAACTCAGATACTCAATTATAGATCCTATAAAAGCAGTAGACAAGACTGGAGTGGCATTAAAAAGTACATCATCTTACGATTATAAAACTGCATTTAAAATTAATTCAACAACTGGAATAATTTCTGTCAATCGAGTTTTAGATTATCAAGTAGCAGCTGTAATAATTCTAACAGTAAAAGTAGAAGACATTAATGGGATTGTCAATAAAGATAACCAAGTCGATAAAGCTGAAGTAACGGTTTATATACAAGCATTTCGTGATGATAATCCAATTTTTTTGAATTCCGGATGGTCAGCAAATAATCCAATCATTCGAGTAACAGTTCCTGAAGAGCAACCATTAGGAACAACACTTTTAATGCTTTTAGCAAAAGAACCGAGTGGACATCCCGTCCAAAGGTTTGAATTAATAAGAAAAGATGATGATGAATACTATGTCAATGTTGGAGTTCAAAGTGGAAATATTGTATTGAGTAAAAAGTTAGATTATGAATCTTTATTGGATAAATTTATCAAATTTAAAGTTCGTGCATTAGCTAGAGATTATGATATTACTCGTAGAATGTCCGAAGCAACAATTATTATTGATGTACAAGATATCAATGACAATAGTCCTATTTTTTCTCAAAAAGAATATAAAGTATCAGAACGTGAAAATTCGAAAGCAGGAAAAATTATTTTAAATGTTAAAGCTACAGATATTGATAGTTCAATAACAGAGCAAGAAATTAGAAGAGGATTTGGAGAAGTTCGATATGCGTTAACTGGTGAAAATTCCAATTTATTTGAAATAGATCCGATTAATGGTAATATTCAGATAGCTGAGAATATTACTCTTGATCGAGAGAGACAATCTGTTTTACGATTCTATGTTATAGCATCTGATATTCCACAAGGAGGAGCTGACCAAAAAACCACTAGAGTATTAGTAACTGTTAATGTACTAGACGTTAATGATAACCCTCCATATGTTTATCAGACTGCTTATACTGCAGTAATTGCTGAAAATGCTCCAGTAAATGTTTCTGTTATTAATATTACAGCTACCGATCCTGATGAAGGTAAAGGAGGAATAATTCACTTTGAAATTATTGATGAAGGTGAAGCTAATGGATTATTTGAAATAAATCATCAAACTGGCGAAATATATTCAAAAAAAAAATTAACCGGCAAAGGTAGAACTGAACCATATAATATGAGAATTAGAGTTCAAGATGGTGGGCATCCAATTCTTTATACAGATGTTTCATTGATACTTTATATTGGTGATGTTGTAAGTAATGATGGAGTACCTTTGTTTATCAGGCCAACTTTAGATGAAATTGCTTTTATTTCTGAAAATTCAACTATTGGAAGTCCAGTATTTCAAGTTGTAGCATCAGATCCCGATGACCCAAATTTACCTAATGGAAAAATTACATTCAAATTCCTTGAAGATGGTAATTTTGGAAATGATGCTAACACTTTCAAAATTAACCGTGATACAGGATTAATAACAACAAAAAAATTATTAGATCGAGAAATTAAAGATAGTTACACCTTAATTTTAATTGTACAAGACCTTGGAAGCCCTCCTCAACAAGCATCAAGAATTCTACAAGTTATTGTTAATGACATTGATGATCATAAACCACATTTTAAAAGAAGTCTTGACAGTCCACCGATCGAGATGACTGTTGAAGAAGAATCACCTATAGGAACTTATGTAGGCGTAATTGAAGCTCTAGATGAAGACATTGGAGAGAATGGAATGATTGATTACGTATTTATTTATGGAAATGAAGACGGACTATTTTCCATTGAAAGATTCGACAATAATTCTGCTATCATCAAAACTATAGGAGATTTAGATAGAGAAATAAATGACCATTATTTATTAACAATTAAATGCTATAAATATCCAGTAAAAAAATCTGATGTAATTCCAAAACCTTATAATCGCCAAGACCCATCAGAAAGGCAAATTTTGATCAAACTTATTGATATCGATGATAATAAACCTGAATTTAAAAAGTACAATATAACATTAGGAGTAAGATTAAATGTACCAATTGATACAAGTTTAATTACAATAGAAGCATATGATAGAGATCCTGATGCTCTTCCAATTAATTATATTATGAGAGAAGTATATTTTACATCATTAGCTGAACCTTCATTGTCTAAGAAGAAAATTCCACCTTATTTAACTCTTAACCCTAAAACTGGAGAAATTAGAACTACTGGATCTATGGCAGGATTTGCAGATGGTTTTATGGAAATTTCAATAACTGCAAATAATTCTAAAATACCAGAAAAAGAAACGAACATCACGTTGAGAATATTCTTATTAAGAGACCGTGACATGTTAAAGTTCGTTTTTTCAAAACCTCCAGTTGAAGTTAGAAAAACATTAAATGACTTTGAAAAGGCTGTACAACAAGCTTTAGCACTACCTGTAACTGTGAATGTTTACGATACCCAATTTTATTCAAAAGATGATAATTCATTAGATTTTTCTTCTACAAGCTCTTGCTTCCAAATGGTTGGTAAAGAGGCTTATGATCTTAAAGAGATGAAATCATTATTAACAGATTCAAAAAATGAAGAATTGAAAAAAGTTTATAAGAAATTCCATGTAGAGAAGGTCCAGCATTGTGCTGCATTAGTTGCTCGAGCTGATGCATCAATTACTCAAATGTGGGTTCTTATTATTTCAGCTCTTGTTGGAATCGCTACTATCATTTCAAGTTGTACACTTTGTTGCTTGCATTCCAAGTAAGTATTTGTATAAATATATTCTATATTATAAAGTAATATAGATCATTCAAATATATTATTCCAATTTTTGCGGTCATAATTAGGTATAAAAGTCGACTAAAACATGCTCGATTACGGGATCAAACTCGTCCACCTTTAAGTTTTGTTTCTTCAGGACCAGGAATAATGAATGCTCAATCGAATACGACTTTAGGTACTCTTGGACCTAGTACAATGGTAACATTAGGTCCACATGACGGTTCATTCGAATGGGGAGCCGATACAACTCTTTACCATCCTAGTACGTTATCAAGAACGTAATTTTGTGAATATATGTATGTAAGTTAGTAATTAATGATTATGGTGCTCTGAAGTTGGTAAAAAGCTTTGTACATTACGAATTAATTAAGTTAAGTTGTGTATTATAGTAGTCATATTTAAATAATAATCATTATTTTATTTGTTTACCAGAAAGATTATGTACATTTTACTATATTTATGTAAAAAAAATGTGAAGATATTAAAAAAAAATACATTCCAGATTATATTTAATCTTTATTCAATGTATTACATAGACACAAAGTATTGGAAAAAAAATTTATATATATATAAATATATATTTCAAGTGATAAAATAATTAGTCACGTCAAATTATTAATTTTTAATGTTATCTAGAATTATTTTCAAATGAATTGATTATATATTAAATAGACTGTGCGTTAATTCGTAAATCACTTTTTTTATTTACTTGGATTTTTTTTGTACATATTTAATGTTTAAGTTTTTTTTATTTTATATTTTTCAAAACTTTTCATGTAATTTTATTCTATTAATTTATCGACTGAATAAATTGGATAAAGATAAAAAAATCAAGTTGCCGACACAAGACCATCTGCAAATTTTTGAAAACCTTCAATTGTGTCAACATCTAACATTGTTGTATTTTTTGAACAATCTTCTAAATTTGACGTTAGTGTTACTTGCTGAGTCATATTATTGGGACTTTCTGGATATCGAGTAATCGGTAAATCAGTTCTTGAAATATTTTTAGATGTTATTTCCATATTTCGATGATTTTTTGGAACTTCAATTTTCAATGAATTGTTTTCCATTTCTTCTTTTGTGTATTCATTTGGCATTTCTACAAAACTCTCATGATATCTTGTAAGTTCGGATGTATTAAAAGCATCGGTTTCTACAAATTTTGATTGCTCTAAAGCCGATTGATCAATTAATTGTTTTGTAAGAATTTCCAATGGTGACATAACTTTTTTAATAAATTCTTTTTGTTCATCATCATGCATTCTTTCTGATCTTTTCAATATATCATACCTATAACAAAATATTCAAAAAAAATATGATTCTTTTCGTTAATATTACGTCATAGAATATTCTCGATGACATTTCACGTTGATCAACGCTGGTTGTTGTGTTCAAGTGAAAGTCTCAAATAGTCTTTTATTTTTGTATAAAACTAACATTAAATAAGCAATTGACCTTGTTAATGAATGCTTTTTTATAAAAGAATTAATTTTAAACACTAATAAATAATAATTACTGTCGAAACAATTATTTATCATTAGCACGAAATTGTAAATTGCCTATTTATAAATATCAATACATGATATATAAATATTACCTGCTTGATTTACTTTTCCTTCGTGGATATAAATTTAAGTGAAATATCATCTGTTTTTTTTCATCTTCTTCAGGCAATCCTGATTGGCTAGCTGGAATTGCAACTATTGGAATTGGAGTCGAATGATATCGAGCGCCTCTTTTATATATTGGAATAAGCGGTCTTTTAAAATCTGGACGATAGTGAGAATGATGATATCGGGAATCTTGGATACTTTCTTCTGAAGTTGGTCCAGTCAGAGGTACGCCTATGGCTGGTTTAGGTTTTGAAGTAATTTTAGTTGATACTTGATCATTAAGATCTGTGATGGGATATATATCTAACATCACACTAAAAGGTTTTGGTTTCTTTTTTTTTCCATAACTTCCAGAGTATGCTCCAGTACTATCGTAAATTGGTTCGTTATTGATTACTGGTTTACTTGTTAATACAACAGGCCGATGAAAGTAGGGATGCTCAATATAAGGATTGTATCTATTGATGTTGCCAGATGAATACCTAAAAAAGATAAATTAAATTATTAATATGATTTATTAGTATTTGAATAAATATATATATATGTATATATTTTTTAGTATACCTAACATTAGCTGGTGCCAAAAAATTAATGTCAGAAGGATGTTTAGGCTTATATTGATAAAATGGATCATGGTGAGTAACAGTAATATGAGACGTATCTACTTCTTCTTCTTCCTCTTCTTCATCTTCTTCTTCTTCAGTACTATTTACTTCGTCGGACTGTTCAGTTTGGTCATTATGGATAATTTCACTAATATCCGAATAAAGATCATATTTTTTTGGATTTACATAAACTCCAGTAAATTTTATACCATGTTTAGTACTGGTTGGATCTTTGATTAAATATTTAATAATATCTTGAATATTTCGTGATGTATGAGGATACCTGTATTGACTCAACTGGGGATATTTGATTTTTTTAAATGATGAAGGATGTGGTGTTTTTAATTCAAAATGAAACGGTTTCGGTCTAAATTCCTGTCTGTTCAAAGATTCTTTAAAGTCAGGATGTTTATACCTTTAAATAATAAAATAAATAGAATTTGTGAAATTAAAATATTTCAAAAAATTTACTCTTTTATCAACTTACATTTGTCTAACTCTATACATAACAGCATGATTTTTAATCAATTGTTTACTTTCAATTTTATCCTCATCCGCTTCTTCTTCTTCTTTATTTTGGGAGTTTAAAAATTTTTGGCGCAATTTAAAATTTGATAAATTTTGGCTTTTCATTTCAAGATTATCTTCATAGAAATTTTTATTATCATTATTCACTGTCGGGCTTAAATCAATATATGATAAGTTTTCATCAACATCAGATCTATCTTCGATTGCTAAAGATGTAAGTTTTTGAGATTGGGGTAACGGAGAGATAGTTGTAGATTTTTTTGTTAAATATGACGGTTTTTTTATAGAATTTTGTAAAATATAAACATGTTTCGTTTCTTGACTGACTTTACTTGCAGTCGTTGCTCCAGAAGCAAAATCATAAATGAAAATAGCCGCCTAAAGAAAACAATTAAATGATCGTGAGTCCATGAAAATTTTAATGAACAAATAACAACATGTATACAATAGTATTTAAAATTTCACTAATTTGCTTTTCATTTATTTAATTGTTAAATTAAGTATTTACTTTTGTTAAAATCCCTATAAAAGTGTAGATTTACTTGGCGTATTGTGAAATGTCTTAACTATGTCAGTATACAGTTAACGCCCTATATGTGTAACATGCAGAAATTTTAGCACTGATTTTATCACGCACTATGCACTGAGGGTTATTTATAAAGAGAAAGCAATTTAATTTAATGTAATTTCTTGTCTATGTTTTTTTCTTTAATGAGATAAAATTAAATTATAATTGACATGATATTTTTTTTACTCAATTTGAATGTAAATATTTTTGATCAAATCAAAGTAAATCATCCATTATTAACAAAATGAATAGATAAAAAACCATAATTAATACTAAATTAATATATTTTGAATTTTAGAGTGTTTAAAATTTTCTGTAATTAAGTAATTTTTCTTTTCAAATCATTTGACTATTACATTTATGATTACAAAAATTTTTTAATAAGTCATGAATATATATTTAATGCAAGGTATTAATTTTTCAATTGAAGTATACTTTTAAAATTAAAGTAAAAAATAATTCTATAAAGTAAACTATCAAAATATTATTACTTATAAACTTATAAATATTTACCAAAATTACAGCAACAACTGCCATTACTCCGATGACAAATTTTTTTATAACTTGTCCGTAATTATTTCTATTATAGTAATCGAAACGATCAGAATAAAGTCCGAGTTCTGAGCTACTTATTGCCGAACGACGACCGGTTTGAAACATTATATTCTCCACTTTCATACGTGATGAAGCATACTTTTTCTAATAAATCACTGGATAAATTTTTTTAATTTAATTGTCGAGCAGGAAAAAGCGCTATTAAATGTTCAATTTTCCTATGTTCATGAAATGTTAACAACAAAGACTAAAGTCTAAATTGAATCTATAACAGTTTTAATGACGAAAGTACTGTAGAGAAAATATTTTTTTGTGGGGGCGATGAATAAGTAGTAGGAGAATGCATAAATGACTGAACTACTTCAAAGACGATGTATGTAATTATTAATGATACAATAAATCTATTCAACGTTAGACAAATATTTATAGTCTAAAAAAGTCAATTTATTATAAATTAAACATGTATCACACTTTTATTCTCGATAGTATATTTTTTGTAATAAAAATTGGAATTTGCAAGAAATTTTGTTGTGTCCAAAACATTTTACGACTTTCGATTCTTTTTTACAAATATTTATTTGTCTTGTACAATAATTGTTTTACACTTTAATTATAGATTGAGTTTTAAAAAAAAACAAATAGAAAACAGTTGGCTTTTGAAAGTATGATAATCTAAAAAATGAGTATTATGTGCACATGAAGGAAGTCGAATTATCTTTTCTTAGATGAGATAATTCTTAGTCTTGTATCGATATTAAGAATAATATTTATTAGTATTAAACCTCGTGATGTGATTGATCGAAATTGAGGTATTTGGAAATTATGGCAGTGTTGTATTTTTTCTGTTTATTCTTTCAACGTTTTCGAAAATTGAATGGTATATCAGGTATCGGATAGTTATATCCTGTAGGTTTAAATGTCGTTGGTGGTAAAGTAGGCGTTGGACCAGGTTTTCCAGTAGGAAGTCTATAAGTTGTTGTACTTACAGTCGTACTATAAATTGGCGTAGGATAAGGTGGTGCAGTTACAGTTTGATAAGTTGGTTTAGGTGATGAAGGTGGAAGGTAAGGAGGAGGTCTTGTTTGTGGTGGTTGTGGTCGTGTTACTGGTGGAGGTGTTGGTCTAGGACCTGGAGTAACAGGTGGTCGTGTAACTGGTGGAGGTGTTGGTCTAGGACCCGGAGTAACAGGTGGTCGTGTAACTGGTGGAGGTGTTGGTCTAGGACCTGGAGTAACAGGTGGTCGTGTAACTGGTGGAGGTGTTGGTCTAGGACCTGGAGTAACAGGTGGTCGTGTAACTGGTGGAGGTGTTGGTCTAGGACCTGGAGTAACAGGTGGTCGTGTAACTGGTGGAGGAGAAGGCTTTGTATCTTGTTGTGGAGGAAGATACTCCGGACCAGTCGTAGATGGTGATGGTCTATAAGTCGATTTTGTTGGTGGTTGTGTTACTGGAGGAATATATCTTGTTGTTCTCTCTGTCACTGGAGGAATAAATCTTGTCGTTCTCTGTGTTACTGGTGGTAAATATTTAGTAGTTGCAGTTGTGGGTCTTTGCTGAATCGTTGGTGGAACATATTTCGTTGTTCTTTGAGTAACTGGAGGAATAAATCGAGTCGTTTTTTGTGTTACAGGTGATGGAGAATATGTGGGAAAAATATCATTCGAAGTGGGTTGATAAGGTGGTTTAGTTGATGGTTTTGATCCAATTGGTGGTAAATAATCTGGAGGACTCGTTGATATTCTTGGTGGCCTTGTAGGTGCAGTAGTTTGTGGTGGAATATATTTTGTAGTTCGTTGTGTTACTGGTGGTACATATCTTGTAGTAGGTGGAGTAGTCGGTGGTGGAATATACTTCGTAGTTCGTTGTGTTACTGGTGGTACATATCTTGTAGTAGGTGGAGTAGTTGGTGGTGGAATATATTTCGTAGTTCGTTGTGTTACTGGTGGTACATATCTTGTAGTAGGTGGAGTAGTTGGTGGTGGAATATATTTCGTAGTTCTTTGTGTTACTGGTGGTAGATAGTCCGGAGAAACTGTTGTTATTCTCGGTGGCTGTGTCGGTGGTCTATAAAGTAATTAAAAAAATTTATTTTTAGAGAAGCACATGAATGATGTTTATCAAACCAATAAACATAAATATAATAAGATAATCTGAGAGGTAGAGAGTGTTACTTTACCTCGTGGGTCGTGGTGGTGGTGCTGGTTTTACAGTAGTTCTTGGTTCATTGGGAAACGGAACTTCCGGCGGTTGATAATTGTACCCATCATCATCAATTGGCTTCGGTGGCGGTCGAACTGTTGTTGGCCTTGGTGATGGTCTTGTTACTGGGGGTGGAGACGGTTTTGTAGGAACAGTAAATGGTTGTGGAGGTTTTGGATAATCATAAGTTGGAGGTGGTGGAGGACGAATTGTTGTGGGTCTTGTTACAGGTGGTGGCGGTCGAACTGTTGTTGGCCTTGGTGGTGGTCTTGTTACTGGGGGTGGAGACGGTTTTGTAGGAACAGTGAATGGTTGTGGAGGTTTTGGATAATCATAAGTTGGAGGTGGTGGAGGACGAATTGTTGTGGGTCTTGTTACAGGTGGTGGTGGAGGCGGTCTAACTGTTGTTGGCCTTGGTGGTGGTCTTGTTACTGGAGGTGGAGACGGTTTTGTAGGAACAGTGAATGGTTGTGGAGGTTTTGGATAATCATAAGTTGGAGGTGGTGGAGGACGAACTGTTGTGGGTCTTGTTACAGGTGGTGGTGGTGGCGGTCGAACTGTTGTTGGCCTTGGTGGTGGTCTTGTTACTGGAGGTGGAGACGGTTTTGTAGGAACAGTGAATGGTTGTGGAGGTTTTGGATAATCATAAGTTGGAGGTGGTGGAGGACGAACTGTTGTTGGTCTTGTAACCGGTCTTTTCGTAACGGTAAACGGCTGCGATGGTGTCGAATAATCGTAAGTTGGTGGAGGCCTTGTTGGCGGTGATGATGGTCTTGTTACTGGTCGTAAAGTTGTTGGTTGAGGTCTGTGTAATAAAGTGAATATTAAGTCAAATAATTGGTATGCGTGAGTAACGTAAAAAAAGCATTAACATTGAGGATAGTACTAATTATCACAAAAATAAAAAAAAAATATAAGTTTTACCGTGGTGGAAGAGTAAATGGTTTATCCGGTGGATTATACTCGTAGCCTTGAGGTTTTGGGTAGCTGTCAATAGCTCTTTTAGTTCTACCATCAACATGACACGTCAAAATCACCACCACTAATGTGGTGGTCCACACCAGCTTCCACTGAAATTAAGAAATCTATGTAGGTATAATGTATAAGTAGGGAATGCAAGAGCAAAGTAAAACGCTAGAAAAAATTTACAAATTCACTAAAATTAGTTTGAAAAACCGCTTTTTACACTTTTGGAACTTCAATTTTTCAATTTATTAATGTATGTAATAGTTAAATTACGTTGTTTTGTGGTACCACTTTACCCCACACCTTTCCATACCTCGATACTTAAGATGTGACAATTCATTAAGAAATAATTCAAACTTAAATTTTCTTTAAATATGACAGACAAATTTTTTAAAAACAAAAAAATTTACCGAGATAATCACATGTTCTACCTCCTACCATCAAATGATCTTATATAAGATTTTTCAGTAATAATATTAAGTGCTTTATGTATGATGAATAACTTATTGTGAAAGGTTTTTTCCATAACGATGGGTCCATTAGACTCTTCATCAGTTGCTGAAGTTTCACTCATTATCCCAAGGATATCAATCGAATTAATATTACAGACAATTGCACAGCAATCCGAGGAAAATTATTGAACCAGTTCAAAAAATATCAAATATTTAATCAAGTTTGTAACATGATAGTTCCTTTTTTTTTGGTTTTTTTTTTAAGGAAATGATCAGTGACCTTTAAAGAAATTATTTATATAAATGATCGAGCTATAGCGAGTAGACATTATCATGCTTCACGATTTTCAAAAGGTTAATGGAAGTTTTTTTTCGCACATATGAAGCTGATATATTATACAACTTTATAGATGATTCAGAAAATAAAAAATATTCACATATATTCGAACTCATAGATCTCATTGATAAATTTACAGATTACACAAGTAGACTAGATTTGTAGAGTTGTTTGTAATCAAGACAGAAAGAGAAAAATATAAATGCCATATTTGCAATCCGTCAATGAATAATATGCATTCACTGGACATTCCAAAACGACAAGAAATACGAAGTATAATCACTACGGCTATTGGCAATCTGTAACCTTTTACAATCAGTCTTTTAAGTCATGAATCGAAAGGTAACGTCTTCACCATGCTATGAGGAGATTATTTATCATTTGTATTCATATAAGTTAATAAAATTTCAACGAAAATCTTTCTATCACATAATTTTTGACACGATTAACAAACAATTTTCAAATTGTATAATAATCAAAAAATCAACTAATATGATAACACTTGGCACATTTAAACACCCACTTTTTACTTACCATTATTAATTCCAGCACTTTCTAAGTACTATTTAATCAATAATCAGATTTAAACATCCAGTAGTTATATCACTAAATAAATAAATATATTGTGTCTCACGGGAGCAGAAGTCCCGAGAGTTAACTTCTTCGGCACAGTTATCGAAGAGCATTTATAGGATTCATCCAATCTCTCTTGCAATCAAAGTGGGGGAAAGGCACTGAACGATGGTCCAGCATTTATTACAGACGTAAGTAAGATGCTGTAACATTTTTTTCTCTTTCGTTTGATTCGAAAACTATAAAAGAGTGGGAGTTTGACTTCATCAAAAACAACTTGAAAAAATTTTTTTCTCGAAGAGTCTAAAACTCTTACGATGATACTCAATTTAAATTTTCAAAAAATTTTGGATTTCTTATGATCATTATTCTAATGATGAAGAATAATTTATCAAGATATATTAATTACTATGTTTACTTCCGTAAGAAACAAATAATTAGTAGACAATTCAGTTATGATGTTAATTATTGGATGAAAATTAATGAAAAACTTTACTATCTTTTATTTCATTATCTTAAAATAAAAATGGCCTTGAAGAAGTACACATTCAAAAATGTTTTCTTCTAAGGTATTGCTAGACCATAATCGAAAAATTTTGAAGAAACAAAAATAGATTCATAGCTTTGTATTGTAATATTATTTAATTTGTCGATTTCCTGTATTTTCTCCCTTAAAAAAAAATTCATATAAAAGTTGTTTTTTAGAATTCATATCTTTTGACTCGATAATTCAAGGATAACGTCTATTAAAAAAAAATAATTCACGAATCCTCGTTGAAAGGATGTGAATAATATTCTCGATAATAATCATAAGATTACCAAATATTAGAGTTTATCACGATGACCTTTCGATTACGTAAATAATTTTGAATTATTAATTTACTTGATATAAGATGAAAATAAATAAAGGAATCTACTGACAAAATAAAAAAAAAAAAGATAAAAGTTGTCATTAGAGTGACATGACCTTCATAGGTATCATCACTGAAAGATGTTAACTGATTAATAAGAAAATTTATTCTAATGATTTCATTGAGAGATATAAAAATTTTCTTAAACAATTAATTAGAAGCATTCGAAATTAAGGTGTGGATTCTGCAGATCACTATAAAGGTAATGCTTATATTTAATGAAGAAGGCCAAAGAGACTCTATGTATATAACCATTCACTCTAGTGTATATAAGAAAGGTCGTACATTTAGGTTGAAAAATCTCGGACCTACGTCGTCCAATGATGGTTTTATTCAAATATCGAAAGTCTGATTCACTCGAATCCGTAAATGATTATCATTATTATAATATTCTGTAATGTCTCTGTCTCATAATTCTCAAAGTCGATGGCATTGAGATCTTCTCTCGTTTTTGATCATTATTTCATAGTTGTCTAGTCCACCCGGATTCAGTGAAATTTAACATTGGTTATATTGAGAAATGATTTCATGGTTTTTTTTAAATTTATTTTTTATGTGTTAAAAAAAAAAACTATCTGTTAAATAACAATTTCTAAACTATTAAATTCCTTTCATATCTGAGAGTTATAACTTTTTATTCAAATTAGATAATGCAGATGATTTATTATGCTATTAACCCTAAACAAATTACAAACAAAAAACAATTTACTAAATTGTAGCTATTTTTTAAAATGATTCTATTTTTAAAATTTGGTAAGCATTTTAATTTTTTTAAATGTCAGTTTTATTCTTCGTAATTATTCTTTCCTATTATAGAGAAATAAATAATAATGATGATAATAATGATAATAATAATAATAATAATAATGAGAGGATGTCATCAGAACTTGACAGAATATATGGTGAAAGCCGTACGCTAAAACGTTAGTTCGTTTGCATACATGTTTTGCGTAATATGTTGCTTGAAATAAATGCGCCCGATTCACAATTACATTCTTGTAGAAAAATTAACAAACAATTTTCTACATAAATAAATCTTTCTCATTAAATAGGGACAATTGTCAGATTACTTTAATATTTTAATATATAATATAATACACCATAATGTATTAAAAAAAAAAAACGAGATAATTGAGTTTTTATCATCTATAAACAAACAAGGACAATCTTCTTGTAATCATCATTGTTATTATTATCATCCTTTCACACATTATATCAACATTTATATTTTATATCAATAAATATATCTGTAAGTAAATAGATTGCTATAAAAAATTTTTTATTGATAATAGACTCAACATATTACAGTGACACAATTTTGATGTAAAATATTTAGAAAAGTAATTTTGAAATTAAACGTATTTCTAAATATTAATGAGCAATAAATTCTTCTGTTAATGTTCTTATGTTGGTTTTAAAGATAATGGCCATAGTAACCATATCCATGACCGAAGTAAGGATATCCTGAAAACAAATAATTTAATTATTTTAATATAATAAATTAGCAGAAACTAATTTTGATTTTAATATCATTTTTTTTTTCTAAAAATTATTACCGTATCCATAGTAGCCATAAAAAGGATATCGATAACCACCATAATACGGATATCCAAATCCATAGCCATAACCTAAACCATATCCTAGATAGCCACCTGGGCGTGCCATAGCCATGCTAAAGATTATGGCGAGAATAAGGAGAAAGAACTTGAAAAAAATGGTAAAAACATGTATTTATTAAATATTGAAAAGTCATTACGTAACATTTATTATCGTTTTAATTTATAAAATAATTATGTAAAAATTTACTTTAGTCAAAATTAATTTTTGCCACAATATTGTGATAAAATTATTGACTACTCACAATTTTCGGAAGAGCCATCTCAAAGATATCGTTTGCTTTCAAGCAAAATTTTTCTTGAGACTGCAAATGTTCAAGTGTCTTATAGATATGAATATCAACTTCTTTTATTTCAATAGTACTTCCTTCTAAAACCCCACTTATACTCGTCAATGCTAAATATTTTTTTCTCATTCTTATTTTTTCAATTAACTAGCGAATAATAATATAATGCATTGTTGAGAGCCTCTAGAAATTACATGAATGAATATATTATGAAATCATCAAGTGCTAGACTGTTCATTTACGTAGTTGATACCATACCTTGACATCCAAATATCATTCCCAAGATGTAAATAGCTAATAATGATCTAAGAATATGTAATACATAACAAGTGTCACTGGCACATTCATAATAAAATTATATGTAGAATCTAACCAAGAATAGTTGTTATCTCAAAGTTGTGTAATTAATTCATGTGTGTCATTAAATTTGCAATTGAGAAAACGAATGATTAATTCGGTCAATGACTTTCATCCTTTTCTTATGTACTTTATGACTCCGTACGATAATTATATTAATATCAACATTTTTACAAAATTTACTATCATCTTATGAATAAATTTATGATTGAGAAATAATATAGTAAAATTTAACTTGATGATGAAATTTTTATTATTGTGCAACAATATTTTTAACATTGACTAATATTTTTATCAATTATTTATATGAAAACAAACAAAAAGTACTAATATTTCAACGATAATTGATCATTTAAAATATATATTACTAAAGTTTAAAAATTTATTTAATTAGAATATTTTACAATACTTGAAGTATCTTTCAAACTGAGAGAGGACGAAAAATAATTGTTCTTTTTGTTCTTCTTTATTTTAAAAGTACTTAAAATAGGTTTTACAATAAAAACAAAAAACAATTGTTTTTTAATTTTTTTTATTGAAAATTAATATAATAAAATTTTATTATATATTTTAATATAGAAATTTATTTAATTTTTTTTTTTTGTTAATGTGACAAAAATATAAAAATAAATTATTTTTAAAATTTAAATGACATTTGTTTTGGCATATTTTTCAAGAATTTCAGATTTAAGAATATGCTGCTTAAAAAAATCAGGACTAACACGGATATCTGAATAGTCATCTTGTTGAGGGAAAAATAATTTTTCAAGTTCAATACGATCTTGAAGACTTTCAACACCAGGAATTTTTGTCGTAATTTGTTCGATATTATTAGTCGGCTTTGTAAGAGAATCCTCTGATCTTCTTGATGAAATAAGTGATGATTGTGTCACTCCACTATTATTACCATTATTGTTATTGGAATTTTGAGAATCTATTAAAGTTTTAGAGCCAGGGGACACCTGACTACCGGGAATATCAGGAAAGTATAATTGTGGAGACACTGGGGGATAATTAAATCCTTGCTGAGAATTTCTGTTATCAGGAAAATTATTCTGAAATCTTTGTGAAAAAGAATCAATATTTTCATTAATATTCGAAGTAGGAAAAGAAGGATTTGCATAGGATCTAAAAGGTAATCCAATTGGTACTCTTTGATTATTAATTGGAGAAGTAATTGGTTGATTGTTGATAACTGTATCAATTGCTTGATTATTTATTGGTGAATTTGGAAAATTATTTCTTAAATTTTGACGATAATATAGTGGAAAATCATTTTGTGGATATAGTTGACCAGCAAAATTATTATATCGATCCGCTTGTCGAACAATATCACTTTCTATGCCAACTCTGGAACCAGTTTCATCTCCGAATTTGCTCTTCGAGCCACTGTCTGTTCTAAAACTTGGATCAAAAAATTGATTTGAATCAGAATATCTTCCATCGTACCTAAATCTATCAAAATTCTGGAATCTATTAAGATCTAGAGGCAAAATGTGAGAATTAAGAGGTTGATTAGAATCATTGAAAATTAAATTCCTTCCAGGAATTTGTGAACCGCTAATTGCTTGAATTCCAAGTATATTATCGTTCGACTTTTGTCGATCTAATGATGTCAAAAAAGGAAATTGATTTGATGTAAATGAATCACCATTTCTAAAAATTCCTTCATTTGATTGTCGTCCAACACCTGGAAACCCTATGTTGAAGTGATTGCGAAAATCAAAAGGGAATTGATTCTCTAGTTGTCGTTGTTGTGCTCTTGCAGAATCTAATTCTAGTTTATCTACATTAATTTTCGATTTAGGTTCTATTTTTTCTCGATCAGCTGGAATAAGTATAGTTGTTGGTACTGTTGTAGATTTGAATTTTCTCATTGGTGAATTAGAAGATTTAACATTTTCCTTCAGTTCAAAATTTGGTGTAATAGTATCGATATTTATAGGAGTTGATGAATCAAGTTTTTCAATGGATATCACCCCATCACTCAATGCAGTATGATTTAATAAACGTCTCTCAACTTGTTTCAATAAAAGTGGTGTCAAAATGTTACCAACCGTACTTATTAGATGGCTTGAATCATTTCTAACTGGAAAATTAAAAAAAAGACCATTTTAATTGATGAATTTTCTCGTTAAATATTTTAGAAATATTCAGTTTTAATATTAAAAAACAAATGTAACTATAAAAAAATTGTTCGAATTAAAGAATATTAATTTTTTATATTTGAGCGAATCGTTTACTACAGAATAGTATTTAGTGTTTAAAGAATAAATATTATCATTTACAAATTAAAAATAAATTCTAATCGTACTTGGCTTACCAGAACCTGCATTTTCCGCTCGACTTCCATGATCTAAAATTGCTAAGCAAAGCGTAGCACAAATAAAAATCTGAAAAATAGACATTCAATGAATATACATGTCTTCTAATCGATATTGTCTAACACTTATCATCAAATATTATCACATTATATGAAAAGTGGATTAATTTATGAGATATTACATTTGAAGTCAATTGATATTAACAAAAAACATTACAATACATGAGTTACGATTAAAGATTAGAACTAAATTAAGAATATAATTTTCAAAATTCAAAAAAGAGCAATATTTATGATAAACATAAATAGATTTACTTAAATCTATATATTTATGATGTAAAAAAAATTAATTTTAAGTTTTATTAAATTTACATTATAAAAAATACTTACTTGCTGTATGTAATGCATGATACGTGCTTGTATTGTAAACTAAAGGGTTTACTCCTTTGTTTCGATCATTTATATACTTTTCTTGATTCTCAACTGTATTTACTACAATCTCAACAATTCAGGCTAATGACACTTGACGTGGAAAATTTTCACGCACGAAAGAACGTTGTTAATACTTCTGTAATAAGATGTATGTTTCTTGATGAAACTTCTAATATTTTTTTTTAAAAAATTAAAAAAATAAAGAAAATTTATCATTAATAAATAAAAAAAATTTGATGATGAATAGTTTTATGTGTCAATAGAAAATGAATTTAACGTATTTAGATATTGTGATTTAAATATAACATATACAAAAAATACATATAAAACATATATTTTGACAAATGAACAATTGTTACATCTTGACTTTGTTATAGTAACCGAGAAACTCTTTTTAAAAAACTAAACATTTATATTAAAGTATCATTCAATTAAAACGTTTTGTTGAAATTAAATTAATACATCGAAAACTGAGTTTAATTCAATATCCTATTTGGCTTACTGTTCCAAGAACTCCAGGAGCAACGACTCCAGGTAGTTTATAAATTTGAACGGGACCATATTTTCGAGCTTCTACACCAGCAGCTCGAAAATTAGGCGATATAACAATAGGAGATGGTACTCGAAGTTGAGATTGTGATTGAATTGTGTTATCTTGACGAAAATAGAATCCAGAATCAGGCGATTGATAATTTATTCCAACCTTTCCAGATACACTGCCATACGGAATACCTCCTATTGATCGAAAATAAATCATTTATCAATTATAAGTATGAAATTGATTTAGTAAAATTTATAATGTATTATTGTTTTTAAATCATCAACTTTATAATTATAATTAAATAATTTTCCGAATTTTTAAACGGATCATAAATTGCTCATTTAATATTATTTGAATTCTTATTTTTATCCATTGCTCAGAATAAAAAGTTTCAACTTCCACAAAAGTGAAAGGAACTATTAAGTCCTTCGAGATACGATGAGTAGAAGCTGGTGCAATCTTTCAATTATTATAGAAACTTTAAAAATAGAAATTTTTATCATCAGATGGTTTGAGTTTGTTTATCTCAGAATAATTAAACATAGAAATATTACACTTGTTAATACTCACCGTATGCTAATCCATTTACCATTTCAACAATACCAGCACTATCTGGAGATGCGGATATTATTTTTGCTATTGTTATAATCACAAAATACATTAAAATCTGAAAAAAATTACATTATATATAATTTAAAAAGTATTTTTTATTCCGATAATATTTGGTATCCTTAATAAAAATAACTCGAAAGAAGTTATTATTTACGTATTACGTTATTGTTCACGCCTTCGACACAGATAACATGTGATCATACAAAAATTTTTTTTACATTTCATTTTATTTTTGAAAATTAATAAACTTCTTACCTTTAAAGACTCCATATTGAATGCGAAAGTATATCACGACTTATAAAAAAATAACTTAGTTGATAAACGAATAAATTATAGAGCGTTGGTGTGGTTTTGTCTCAATCTAACCTTAAGCAGGCGTTTCCTTTCCAGATCAACTATCATATACAGTTTGAAGGTACATGCAATGCAAACTCTAGTTTATAATACCATCAGGTGTATTATCTCAAATACCTAAACCTTGAATAGACATGATTACTCTACCTCTCACATCATTGCCTTTAAGAATAATCAAGGTTTCCTCCGAGTTCTTACATTGACTTGTCTTGAATGTTTCTTATTACAAAACAACTAATTAAGTGTGAGATATGAAAATATAATTTCATCAAATTAAAATACAAAAAAATACTTTAGCCAAAGTTTATTTATATATCTTTGTTATTTTTTCATGAATACTCAATTGTGTCAAATGAAATTTTTAAAAATGGGTCGAGGCTAGTGTAACAATTCGATTATTTATGTATGAATTACAATTACATTGGAAACAACATTGTAGCCTGTTCAATATTTCTGCTATTGTCAAATTTTAAATAGTACAACTATTAAGGAAGTAAAAAAGATGGGATCATACAGAAATTTTTCATAGAATACATGAATAAATATCGACGCAAGTAATTCCAATAATTCAACAAAATTGATTTAGCAGAAAAGTTTTATTTGATTAATAATAATTGTATACATTCTTTATCTTCCTAATGAATAATTAAGTGGTAAAAAGTAAGATTTTCTATATTTTATATATAATTATGAATCATTAATTTGTTTTTTTTCATCTATTTAAACTAAGTTAATAGTTATGTATCATAATTTTCTGATATCCAAGACATTGATTCCATCATTTTTTTTGTATCACGTTCAGTCAACTTCAATTTATCATTTAATGGTAAACTTTTGTCTCTTTCTTTGGATTCTTGGCCATTGCTAGTATTTTTATATAAATCTTCAATATTAATTCTGTCAATAACCACATTTTGAGTATGATTATTTGGTATAATAGTAATGAATAAGTTTTTTCTACCATTTTCTTCAATTTCTTTAGTATGGAAAATGTGCTCTGGATTTTCATTAGTTATAATAGACAATTTTTTAATCATTTCATTGATTTGAGTATTATCATTATTGTTATTACCATCATGACGTTCATAATTGTTATCATTATTATTTATATTTCTTTCTATAATTGGCTCCGTTGATGGAAAAATAGTTTTTGTAATAATTTTCTCTTTCGACACCTTTGATCTATGTTCAATTTTTCGTTTTGTAGGTTTTGTAGACTCACCATCTATTGAATAATTCGATAATTTTTTATAAATTGGCTTTATTGTAGTTGATGTTGAAATCATTCTAAATCTTCGATTATTATTATTTCTGTCTGGCAGTTTACGCTTTCTGAGTGTTTTTTTTATTAAAAGTTTTGGCATCGACGATGTTACAATTTTCGATTCTAATTTCGATTGATCATTTGTTAAAACTCCTGTATTTTGAATGTTTCCACGCCTTCTACTTTGCGGTTTTAATTTAAATACTTCTTTAGAAGTTGTAAGTAAAACGGTTGGGGTAGTAGATCTATTTTCGTCAGCTAAAAATTTTGCAGAAGTTGCGGGTATTTGTAATATCGTAGTTGTTACTGTTGTCATTCTATCAGTTGAATTTTCTTGTTCTTCTTTTCTAGGTTCTACGAAAACCTCTTTTTCTTCATTCGATGCCTTTAGATTTCTTTCTTTTGAATGATTCTGTTTAATTGGATATAATTTTGAATTCATAACATGACTATTAAAATTATCATCATCCATCCAAAAATTGCTTCCAAATTTGTTAGATCTATGATTGAACGATGATTTCCAAGGATATATTTTTTTAAATTTTCTTACTGACTCTAATGGATAATGCTCTTCAGCTAATCTCCTGTCGATTTCTTCCCTTATGGCTCGTAATCGTGCTCTTCTTTCCCAAGGAAATTCATAATTGCGACGTATTTTTTTATAATTTTTTATTTCTTCAGAAATACTTTCATCATCTTCATGCCAAGGAAATGTAAATTTTGATATTCCATATTTATTTTCATGCGCCTCTTTACTGATTGACACATCACGATACTTTTCATCGTGATTTTCAGAATCAATAGATTCAAAAAGAGGATGATAAAATGCTGGTTTATTTATGCGTGATCCTAAGGAAGCATATTTTGGGTCGTCAAAACTTTGATAAGGAGAGAGAGGTCTAGAACTGTATCTTTCAAAATCTTTTTCATGATCAGATATAGTAAAAAAGTCACTCTTTTCTTTATGATAATTTTCAGAATTATCAGATTCATCGACATTACTTTCATCATCAGAATTACTATCAATATCAGATTCATATGGTCTTTCCATCTGTTCTACTTGTTCGTCACTTTGTTTTTGTTTATCATAACCCCTTGGCTGATCATCATCACTACTAGATTCATCATCATAAAATGTAGATCCTGAAAATTGTTTAATGTTACTATTATTTTCAATATCATCTGAATCATTTTTTGAAACATCATCATTTTCTTCTTTCTGTTTTATTTTTATTGGATTTGAAATTTGTTCATCTTGATTTTCTTCATGTACATCATAACGTTCATTGATTTTCTTCGAATTATTAGAATTATTGAAAGTTTTTATTTTATAGATGTCATCGTCAAATCTCCTTATTGTTGTATATTTTGGTTCATTTCTTGCTGTTGATGTACTTTTATCAGTTGTAAAATCACTATATCTATTACTTTTTTGATTATCAAAATTTTTTGCACGATCTATAATAGTGTAAGCAATTTTTTTTGTAGCTATGGAAGTTTGATCTAATTGTGTATTATTTTGTGGTTTTTTATATCTTTTTCTAAGTGTATTATTACTCAGATTTATCGTTTTGGACTCTCCGAGATCTAAATCTGAAAGATCAACTTGTCTTTTATTGACTCTAACAGTTTTGAAATAGCCGATAGTTTTATTAGATAAACCTCGAACTGGTCTTGTAATTTTGCGAGTTCGATACGTGACTTTATTTGTTTTGTAAGGAAAAATTTTTAACTTTCTATGATTACCTTTATCAGTGGATAATATATCATTTAATATATCTGGTGTTTGAGTAGTAATATAAATGAAGTGATTGTTTATTTTCTTTCGATTTGTATTTTGAGAAATATTTGAAGATTTTTTTACTTTTTTGAGTCTTGAAGAAACTTTTGATGGTCGTGAATTTAATATCGTTGGATGTTGTTTATATAAATGTGTTAAATTTTTAATCGTATCCATAACATTTTCATACACTAATTTCTGATACGGAACGAGAGGTAGAGCAGTTGTTGTTTTTAATCCATTTCGATGTTTTCTTGCATGATTAGACCAAGCTGTTGATTGTTCTGCTTGATATCGCTTATACTGATTTGGATCAATTATTTTATTTTTCCTACTTTCTAGTGGTCTTATATCTATAATTTCTGGTTTTTTAGAAACTCTTCGATGAATGTTTTCTTCAGGATTAATGGATAAATGTGAAATACGTGTAATGAAGTTAAATGAATTTAATTCTTCAGGTATATTAAGAGGTTCTACTTTTTTTTCATAAAATAATGGATTATCTAGTGGATTTTCATCAAAATATTTAGCTTTATAACACAATATTTTATCACCAAGACCTCGAAGTCGTGGTAAATTTATTTCATGATCTCGATTAGACATTGGTTCTTCTTTTTCAGGGACTACTTTTGACAAATCAGGGTCAATTTCTTCACACTGTATATATTTATCACGAGATTCATAAAATTCATTACCTCCAAGTGTTTTGTGAGGTATTTGTTGAGGATCTATTATATACTTTAATGGTGATGATCTCAATACTTCTTCATTATAATAAAATGGATACTTTTTATTATTGAATTTATTTTCTATTTTTTCAATTTTGTCCTTGTTATTTTTACTTATTTTTATCGATGGATTGACTTCAAAGGAATCGAATTCTGGTACTTCAACTTGAACTTTCTTCTTTTCTTCACTTACATTTTCTATTTCTTCGATTGATGAGTGTTTTTCTTCATTGTTATCATTATCATTTTGGTCCTTCGGAAAACGCATGTCAATTTCTTCATCAATGACTTGTTCAACAATTTTCGGTGCTTTATTTAATAAATCATTGACATTTCGTTTACGCCGAGAACCAATAAATTGTCTCTTATTTACGGATTTAAAAGAATTTTTCACACCTTTTAACGGTACTTTCTCATAATTAGGTTTCTTGCCAACCGTAAAATATTTTTGCTGTTTTTCTGGTGATTTGTTATTCATCCGGAACACCATTCGATTTTTCAAGACTTCTGGACGGAAATTATATTGTGGTTTATTGTTCCCGTTTCTCTTTTTAGTATTATAATGCGCGTATTCACTTCGACTTGTACGAGTTGGCGGGATCATTTCAATTGATGGTAAAATATAATTTTTTAAATCTTTCCAAGTGGGTTGATGACGATAATGCGGTTGTCGATAATAATGATAAACAAAAATTGAAGGAGGAATATTATTCTCTTCAATGCTCGTATCTATTGATCCACTTTTCTGTGTTACACTTGATTCGATTGAGTTGTCGTGATTTTGAAGTAAAAAGTCTGCATACATGAGTTGTTGAGATGGTGGAAGTGATGGTGGTGGTCGTAATACAGTTAAGTCTTTATCATTCCAAAAATACTCTTTATTTTTTGAATATAAATCTTTTGATTTTGAATCGTTACAAGACAATGTTGGTTTTCTTACTAACAAAATATATTTTTTATTTAATCTTTTAGATGTTTCTAATTCAGTTGAAGCCTTATCTGATTTTTCTTCAGAAGAGTATTCTCTCGATATTAAGTTATGTTCACCGTCACGTATTTCAGATAATTCTTCATATTTTTCTTCAATTCCTTTCCTTTTCCACGTTTCATAAATTTGAGATAAAGATGGATCATGACTTTTTGGAGTCGTTAAATCACTAGTTATTTCGTCAATTGAATCTAATAAAGGTTTCGATTTTAATGTTGCATTTTGAATATTACTTTCAGTACTTGTTATATTTGCCTCAAAAAAGTTTAATGATAAATCAATAGGTGCTGCTACAATTCTAAATTTACTTTCTGATTTTTTTTCAAATTCTCTTGAATCACTTATATCATTTTCCTTACTATCATCATCGTTTAAAGAACTCGAAACTATATTATATTCATCACTATCACTTGTATTATCCTCAAAATTATCAGTTGAAAATCTTGAATTTTTAGGAATTTCAGTTTCTGCATTATCAGCCAATTCTCGTTTTTTCTCTATTAAATCTTTCTCTAATTTCCATATTTCAGATTCTGTAAATTTTTGTGGACTATTTCCAGACTCCTCCCATGTATGAAAAAAATCATAATGAGGATAAACATCATCAAATTTTTTAAATTCTACACTTCCATTAAAATTATCATCATCATCATCATCAACAACATTCTTATAGTTTTTATTATTTTCATTTTTACGAGGAACAATTTTCTTTGAAACATCTATATTAAAATTTTCATCGAAATCAGCATCTCTGATGTGACCAGCATGATCATAAGCAGCATCTTCATATCCTTCTTCAGTGTAATAAGTATTAATTTTTTGTTTTTTTACAACGGCTCTCAATCTATTGATATTTTCTTGTTCTTCATCAGTTTTTACTTCGTCTGAAATATGTCCTCTTGGTAATCGTTTTACAATATCTCGATGACGAACTTGTGCATATAATCGATTTGGTGTAAAGTCCAAAGACACATTATTTATAAAAAATGGTTTACTTCTATAATTTGAATTGAAACTATTTAAATTCCTAAAAGGTTCAGAAGGATTATCATGTTCAGAATATTGAACTATAGGGCTTAAATTTTTATCCTTCAACTCTTTACCCTCATGATGCTCTTTAGATGAAGAATAAAAAATAGCACAATAATAAAAAATGAAATAAAACAATAAATAACGCAGCATTTTATTATTTGAACACGATTAAGTCATACAACACATTATTTTTTAAATAAATAACATTTATTTCATCCAAAATCACTGTCAATTTAAGTAGCTTAAGAAAAACACTAGTCTGAGGAAAGTTTCACAATGATCTATGATAGTCTCTATTCACTAGGACACCCAATCGGTTACAAAGCGAAATCGCTTGTGGTTTCTAATCATCATAGATTGAAAGGCTGTTATGGACTATTCACCACGTGACAACTAATTCTTAATTTATATTTCCTGGACTAAGAAAATTGAAAAGTTGAGGTAGAGTTATAAGTGAAAAGTAGTACAATCATAATAGACCTTCATAAAAATAAAATTAAATGATTATTTAAACTATTCAATAATTTTTAAATTTTTGTAAAATTTAATCTTACACTAAGAAAAACTTTAATATTTAGAAAAAAATTGAAATTTTATACACTCGATTAATTAACCGAAGGAAAGGGAACTTAAAAATATTTCTGTTCAAAACTTAATTTTTTTTACTAAGACACCTTTTAAGTCTCAAGTTTGCTTACAAAAATTCAAAATTTACTATCTAATAGAAATATTTTTACTTCTAAATTTTGAAACGTGGACTTGTCACTTTTTGCACTTATATTTAGTGAAAAAATTCTTTTTGCGTATTTTTTGATAAAAAATTGAGAATTGTCTATTTTATTATTAAACACTCAAATTTTTTTAGTACAAACAGTATCTATAATAACAGAAATTATCATAAAAAATTTATAAATACAACACAATAATAAATAAATAATAATTAATCATTTTAATAATTTAACAAATAACTTAGTCAACATTAATGCAAAATACTTTTTACATAATCATTAATCACTAATACAAAATAAAAATAAAGAAAGTATTTTATGTTTTAATCATGGGTTTCCATGAATTTAGATTCTCATTTGAGTCAACAAATGATGATTTTGCTGTGAGAGGTTCAGCTTGTAACATGGATGCCTTTGGTTCAAAAAATTCAATTATAGGATGATAATTATAATTAATTCGTCTATTATTTCCCTCTGGATAATCTTCATCGTCATAATTTTCGTGGTGAACTTGCGTCGAAGTATCAATTTCTAAATCATCAGATTGATCAAACCTGAAACAAATTATTTCAATTAATACATATAAATATAATAATGATCTTTATTAATGCTAAATTTTAATATGAATTATTAATTTTTTTTATTATTTATTTACCATTTATTAAAATGAGAATTTTTAATTTCATCATTATCCTCCTGATTAGAATCTCTTCTAAATGGCCGATTCGGTCTATGTGGTCTTTTAACACCTTTAACTATTGGTCCTTTATATCCTGGTGCACGTGTATTAGGTGCATGCTGATGCGGTATTTTATCGAATGGCCGAGGAATTGCTGTCGATACTTGAGGTTTCTTTTGTCTAGGTCGGGAAGGTAGTAAAAAACTTGGATGATTTGAGCTGCTAGCATCAATAATTGGTTTAGAATTACCTGTGAGAACTAATTTATTTCTATTTAATTGTAAATAATTTTCAAAAAAATTATTTAATTGTTTATTAAAAATAACACTATACCCTGATTATTATCATAATTAAAAGAATGCTTATGTTTTGTCAAATAACTTGACGGTCGTTCATCTTTATTTGAAGTAAAATCATACCCAGGAAAAGATTCTTCACTCAATGATGGAGGATCCTTTTGAATAGGGGGAAAAAGTTCAGCATATCCATGAACATGACAGCTACAACAAGATGGAATTTTGAAAATATCTATATGAAGGCCAATATCTTTATCCCATGTTAGTAGCCGATGATAATTATATACTTGAACGCAGGATGATCGATAATTATCTGATATGAAAGAGCAGCTTGCCTTTGCTTTCCTAAAAAAATATTAATTTTAAAAAAATTAATTTTTAAATTTTATTTCAACTTTTCTTCTATTACTTACGAGCATTTCTCAAGTCTCAATGTTTGGGTATGTTCTCCAGTATTGATGATATACTTCCAAATGCCGGAAGCCGCTCTGGCCAATTGAGGACGAGCATACATTACTTGTGATGGACAAGTGAAACCTTCTTCTGTGTTGTCGTACGACAATGTATAATCAGATTTTCTATGATTAAAAAAGAAAAGTAAAATGATAGAAGAAATAATGTAATAAAGAAATAAACCTATATTAATTTTTCAATATTCACCAAAACTGTTTTAATTTGTTAATTATACATATATTGTCTCAGAGACATTATCATTGAGTTTTTTCTTCAATTATTTTATTTTTAGTTGGCCAAATTAGAAAGCTTGACTTAACATTAACTAATGGTAACTTGAAATTTGGTGATCTAATAATGTTATTTATAAAAATACGAGTTTCATTTACCTTTTAATTTCATTATTATCGTATCGATTGTCATATCGATTTTCTAAAGGAAAAACATCGGCTTCAATGTTATCATTTTTATCATCCTTTTGGTTATTATAATCTTTAAGAAGATGAACCATCATATCTCTATTACCTCTAATACTTCTAAGAATAGCTTCTCTGTTGTTAATATAAGTAATAACCATTATTTTTATAAAAAGTACTCGAATAAATAGATCCATCGAAAATACTGCATACTTACTGAGGATAATTAAGAGTTTTTAAACATACTGTTTTACCGAAGAAAGTACATTCTTGTTCCGTTGGTTCACGTTTATTATCAATAGGCTTTCGTATTGGTCTTTTGGATCGTAAAGGAACTTCAACTATAAATGTAACGTAACGCATATTGTAAATAAATCCAACACTTATACAATCCTATTTTTTAACTTACTATGCATAATTAATGTATATAAAATATGTAAAATTGATAATTTTCGTACACCATAAATGTATTAAAATATTTAAGTATTCTTTACCTGGATAAACATTTCTTCGATTGTTATTTAGTGGAATTTTTCTTAGTGGTGGAGGACGATATAACGGACGTCTACGACTTGTTGGCCTCAAACCCCTTAATGCCATTGCCTGAAGAATAGCCCGTCATTGATTTCATTCAATTATTATAATTATTAAGAATTATTAATAAAAAATATAATAATAGTAGTTTTTGACACTGATATATATATACATGACTCAACTTGATTTTCTCTAGTCATGCACTAATTATAGTCTAGATCATATTCTTACTCCTTTCTCATACGAAATTCGATTATATTGAAAAGAATTGAATAATATTATACACTCAACTAATAGTGTCTATAATACTTAGTAAAAAAATTGTTTATGCAATTTACAAATAAAAGTGTGAAATTTTTAATTAATCAACATTAAAAGTAGGCAATCATCAACTATAAAACAAATTTACAATCAAAAATATTATACATATTTTCATTACTCATCGAATTTCCATTCGAAAGTCTGTATTTGTCTACAAATTCTTTTCAACAGTTTTAACTGTATTTTTTTTTTTTTTTCAATTAAATTTCAAGTACCTCTGGAAGAGCCTCAGGCGATTCATCGCTCTCATTTGTATCCTTTTCATTTTCTAAGTCTTTATCAGTTTCCAAATCTACTGTGTGTTTTTTCATCCCATTCATATTGGTGTTATTATTGCCTTTATAAAATGGTGATGATGATGATGATGATGATGATGATGATGAAGAAACCTGAAATAATATTTATCATTTATTTCCCTATATATAAAATTTCTATATTTATATAGGTCTATCAAAGAGAATAATTCTTTTAAACAGTATTTTTTTTTAATTGGTTGTGAACTAATGATTATTATTGTACACTTACAGATACTTCAACTTTAGAAACAAAAGTTTGATTGTTTGTGATATTATCTTTAACAATTAACGATGTGGATATTTTTTCACTGGTAGAATGCTGATCATTCTTTGCCTTATTATTTTTAAAGTCATTAAGATTTTCTTCACTTTCTGCTTGAGTCGTTGTAGTGAAAAGTAGTATTCCCTGTAGAGAAAACAATTTAATTATAATTTTTCATTTATTCCTTTATTGACAAAATAATAAATTAAAGCAATTAACTCAGTGTAATCAACAAATTATAAGGGTATAACTTTCGTTGTTATAACATTTAGTATTTAGGAAAATAAGAATAAATTTAAATGAAAAGCATATTCATGATTTTTATTTTTATGAAATTAATTTTATTTATTAATAAAAAAATGTACTTATTTTTTTAATGAATGTGATAATCATATATAGATTCATATTTAAAATTTCTATAAACTTACTAAATTTAATAATTCCACTTAGAAAAGATATGAATTGAATCGATGAAATTTCAAATCATACAGTAAACAATAATTTATGTAAAATTAATATTTTATGGTATTTTTCGTTATTCAACTGATATTTTTTGCTTTATAGAAAAAGAAAAAAACAAAATTTAGTTAATGAGTTTATTTGTTTAAACTTACCAGTAAAAGTAATAACCGTAAAACTTGAATTCCTTTCATTGTACACTTTTGTATCAACTAAAGATATATGAAATATTATTTCTGCCACTTAATAATAAAAACTTTCAACAACCTCAATTATTTAGTTGATAATTCTTTTTATAAGTACATAAATAATTTTTATATTAAATTTTTTTATAAAATTCAGTAAGTAAACTGAGTTGTAAGTACGTAATTCACGTGTGCACAAGGCAGATCTTGAGCAAATTGCGAGTGTGCATCTTCGCAAACAGTTTCACGAGCGAGTACGATCTTTTCTCTCACTGCTTGTTAGTTTTACTACTTCAAGTTCTCATACCAATACTTTTTAGTCTTTTTTTGTAGGTCAAAAATCATTGGACATACGGTAGTAAAGGAGTGGGAAAATGATAGAGTGAAGATTGTAATTATGATAATAAGGAGAAAAAGAGAGAAAGAAAGAAAGAAAGAGAAATCAACAACATTAAAGTATAGGTAGGAAATGTTTTATCATAAATAGTTTACAAAATATTTTATAATGAATAAATGTGATGACGTTGGTACAAAAGTAAGAGAAAGGAGAGTGAAAGAATTAGTAAGGATATAAATAGAATTCTTAGATGGAAGAAAATTGTCTGCATCATTGGAGATACTTCATCGCTTTTTTGTACTCTTTACTTTATCATATCATATTAATTATGAGAAAGCTAAGTCTTTTGAACAAGAGGAAGTCGGTCATCAACATTTAGTCACTATTCTGAATCTTTCCTTAGTTATAATACTTAACTGTACACTCCATCATAAGTTTTATCTTTATCATTATAATAATTTAATTATATTATATTCGTTTCTAATTGAAAACATTAACGTTGAAAATGATTCTACATGAAATTATCAGAAATAAGTTTAAACAATATTAGATTGTTTCAAGAATTACAACTTACCGTTATTTTTTACTTTTTATTCACACAAAACATTTTGTATCATTTATTAATTAATGTATGCCTAACGGCTTTTTCAACTTTCATATCTAATTAAATAAATAAAAATCTAATTAATAATTTGTTAATTAATTTTTTTTTTCTATTTCTAGACATTGAGATTAAACTACTACATATGCCATCAAGTACTTGGGTCCTCTTACAAGTTGTTTACTTTGTCAATTAAATTGGCTGACATAAAATATAAGCACTGATCCAGGAGCTTAGCATATCATCAACTGCATCCTTAATTACATTAATTAGCGCATACGTTCAAGGTGAAAGATCACAATCCTCATGAACTTGAACAGAGATTATTGACGATGAATTGAGAAATGCACTCGTGCCAACCTTGATCTTCAAACTATGTAATTAATCCACGGATATAAAGTTAGAGTTGTAAAATAAATAATCATCATACTGAGAGAATAACATACAAAAAAAAAATCAGTTTAGACTATGATAAATTTACTCATAAAATATCAATAACTAATTGAATCAAAATCGTTTCTTTAAATTTATTTATTCAATTTTTTTTTTTCATAACAACACTTTATAAACTTAATTTTTTATAAATCTTAGTACAAGCATTATTCTTTCATTTGTTTTGTAACTATTATTTTGAAAAAATATAAATTTTTTAAAAATGTAATTTACAAAAATTTTTCTATAGTAATGACTTAATCAATACTATACTGTTATCAAAATATAAACTAATAAGAACAGAGATTTTATCAATTATTTCTAAAAATTGCTTGAAAATTTGATTAATTTAGATAATTTTGAATAATTAAATAAAATATCACACAAGTGTTGTTTTATATTTTTACATTAAAAAATTAAGTTCATGATTATTGAACATTCCCCCGAAACTCTTCAAAAGACTAGAATAATAAAGAATGATTTCAAATTTATACATAAATATAAATCTTATGATTTAGACAGTTTTGTATTTAATTAATCGATTTGATGTTGATTTTCGGTGATTTTTATCGCAAAATTCTATTTACAAGTTCAGATAAAAAACCTAATAAAAAAAGAAAGGATAAGTCTGGGAAATATATCTATAATAATGGTACTAATGAGATTAAGAAATTAATTACAGTTTTGTCAAATATTATTATCTCAAGATAATAATAGATCTCACTTATCCTTTCTCCTTTTTTTTTTACTTTATTAGCCACTCAATTAAAAAAAAAAAAGAAAATGAGGGCATATTAAAATGGCATAATTATTACTTAATAATTATCTATTACTAATTCTAAAAAAATCTTAAAAATATTATTCTTAATTACTACTTTTTACAAATTATATTTTTCTACTCATAATGGAAATAAATTTCCACATACGTTTAAACTAATCAAAAATTGATATTCACATGATTTCACATCTATTTGAAAATAAATAATTAATACATCTTATGTATATATATATAGAAAATTAGTAATATGGTAAATTAAATTTGTTCAAAATCATTTTTTGTTAAGAATTTTTCGATGAAAACTATTTCAAATTTTACAGAATTTTCTTGTATTTAATAAATATTCAATCACAATTAGAAAAACTTTACAAATGTAATATGTAATTAAAGTTTTTTATAAATACAATAACAATACTATTTAGAGCCTTTTTTTCATACGGATAATTTCAATTGTTATTTTGATATTCGATATTCAGAAATATATTAATCAGTACACTCAGAAGCAAAGCTTTCAAGATCAACATAATGACCATTCATATTGTCTTCAAGAAGTTGAGCAAGATCTCTTCTAAGCATCTGAAACTCTGGTCGACGATCTGGATCTGCATGCCAACACCTAGCGATTACCCTAAAAAGTTCACTTCGACAGTGTGATGGTCGTTCTAGTCGGTATCCGTCTTGTACGTTTCGCATGACCTCTCTAGCAGCCATGTCCGGATATGGCGTTGAACCTACAAAAATCAGTTACCAGTTAGTATCTTTTTATTAAAACCCATAATTTTATACCAGTATCAATATCGTTTATGATCATAATAATTTTAATTTTTAATTTTTAAGTTGAACACATTAATTTTTTTTTATTGTAATATATAATTTTTTATTATAATATATTGAAAAACGATAATCTTTCAATAAAAAAAATTTATGAATATATTTATATACAAAATAATATTATTTTTTGACGAGGATAAAATTTATCTTGAATAAATAGAATATTGAATTAACGTCAAGAAAAAACATACCAAGAGTTACAATTTCCCACATTAAAATCCCAAAACTCCAAACGTCTGTTTTTGTAGTAAATAATGAATAAATCAATGATTCGGGTGCCATCCATCTAATTGGTAAAGCATTTCTTCCATGTCTTGTTTCAATACACTCTCCATCCTCATTTGCAAATCTAGACATTCCAAAATCTGCTATTTTACACAATTTGTTGTGATCAACAAGTACATTTCTTGCAGCAAGATCTCTATGAATTATCTGAAAAAAAAATCTTTCATGTTAAATCTAGGAAATATATTTATAAACATAAATTAAAAGTAAAAATTTTTGTTTTGAATTTTACATAATTTTCATGACTTTACATAAGAATTTGTAGTCAGATGATGAAGAAAAACAAAAAATAAAAAGATCGGATCAATATTATCTTTACTGATGTAAAACTGTATTGTATGTTAATGAACATGTATACGATTGCTCGTAGCCTCATATGTTCTTATAGATGCAACTGATGATTAACAAACAATTTTCTATACTATACTCGTTCAGTAAATTGACTCTGTACAGAAGATGAAGAAGAGAATAATAAAAGATAAAAAATAACGGTTTAATTATGAGTTATATTGAAGACTTAATTCCATGAAAAATATTAAGTTATTGTAAAAACCTTGATTACAAAAAAAACCTTACAGTTTTTTTAATATAAAAAATTTTTTTATATTTTTCATACTTTTATACATATATAATTTTTCACTTTAATTTACACGTATAATCGTACGTTGAATGAAATGCCGACATACATTTTCGTATAAAAATCAAAGCCAGTCGGCCAGCCGGTCTTTTGTGGGTCTTCATATGTACTCATTATGATCTTTTTTTTCTTCCGTTCATTTTCTACTCATGGTTAAGTACACAAATATGTACGATCAAAAATCTTGAACCAGCAAAACCGGTACCCCTTACGTATTTTTTTTATCTCTCCAGGGGAGAAAAAACTTATCGACTTGTATGAAGAACATATCTATTCAATGAGCGATGATATAAAGCTGTTAATTATGTACCTTTTTTGAAGCAAGATATTCCATTCCTCGAGCAACACAGTAACCAAATACTGTGAGGTCTCTTGAGGTCAATGCTGCTGAGTCCTCACTAAAATTATAAAAGTCTTGTCTTGTTCGATGATCTCTCAAATATGCCAAAAGTTTTCCATACATGACGTATTCGAGTATTAAGTAGTGAGGCTCTGAAAAAAAATATAATTTAAAGAAAAAAGAAGTAGAAAGATGATAAAAAGTTGGCAATAAAGAGAAATTAATAGTAGTCTTTTAATTAAGTAAAAAACTTTAAAGAAAATTTCATTTCCAAGTTTTACTCCAATATAGTTTTTCATACTTTTCAATATTTTCAACATCATTCAACGTTTTTTCTGCATGTAATTTTTTATAACGAATTTCTGACCAGACAAAATAAATACTAAAAATCAAATAAGTGTAGTTGTTAAGCGATATAACACGCATATGATATTACCGTGTATATTACAAATATTTATTCAAATCAATCACGTTGAAATGTGCTAACTAAACGTTTTGCGTTTTAGGTACAGTAATAAAAAAAATTGCATAGCTCACGTTTACTAACAGAAATATCAATTAATATATAAAAAATCCAAGAAATGTTAAATGTTAAAAAGCTATAGTGATTATTTCAGTTGTATCACAGATAATATTTTTTATGTATAATAAAAAAATTCATCATATTGAGTACATTTATTATTACGTCTATAAAATTTTAAAAATATTTTTATTGCTATTTCAATATTTTATTTTCATTTTTTCGCATAATCTAAATAGATATAAAGGTTATATAAATTTCATTTAACACTCTTTTTAGAATCAACCATTGTATGTCTGAAACATCTAAAATAAAAGAAAAAAATTCATGTTGTGAATCTTCAACTTTAAAAATACGTTAAGTTTTTTCGAAGGGAATAACACACCTTTTTGATGTTGTTAATTGTCAATTAAATTATTCTTATTTAAGTCTTTTTTATTCTTATGGTAGTTTTAATATATTCTATGTCAAGTAAAAGTACATACGGATTTGATATATATATATATATATATATATATATAAATGAAAAAAATTATCGCGATATATCATTAATATTTTTATTATAAAAAAGTTGATAAACAGAGAAATATAGTTACCTTCTCCGGTGCAACAACCTAACAATGTCACAACATTTGGATGATTTCCCAATTGCTGCATTATTTCTAATTCTCTTATTAAATCTTCTTTTTCTCTAGTTGATGCACCCTCCTTGACAGTCTTAACAGCTACAAGTCTAGTCGTTCCTTTATGACCAGTTAAATCATCCGCTTCGGCTTTCCAAACTTGACCGAAATTTCCCTGTCCTAAAACAGTTTGAAGTCTCAACTTTTCTCGAGGAAACTCCCATCGTGACTCCTGTTGTAATGGAGATGACGGTTTTTCTAATTCATGACACTGAAAATAATAAATAACAAAACACAAAATGAACAAATTTTGTAGTTCATTGTAAAATTTAAGTTTATAAAATTTGTACTTTCACTTGAGATTATTTGTCTTTGCTTATTCAACTTACAAGATGCTGTATTCTCGGTAATTTTGTTATCGTTTTCTCAATCGAGGTCTTGAAATCCCCATTCTCAAGATTCAGCGCATCCTTCCTGCAGCTTATCTCTGATGATGTGTCAGACTCCTCTAGCACCTGCTCAAGTAATTTCAAAATGTTAGCAATTTTTCACAAATTTTTTTTTTCTTAGCTTTAAAAATATTACAAAAAAGTAATCCTTCTAACAAATAAATCGATTATTAAAAATTTTTAATTTTTCAATATATTTTTATTGTGTCGTTTGAAATAATGATTTATTACTTTTAAAATAAATTTAACAATCAATTCACATAACTTTGCACAGAAAAATTTGACTAATAAGACACATATCACATAATGATAAAGTATTTTTATTATTTTACTTTGAATTTTGCGTTATAGTTAGGTAAAAGATAGTCGTTAATTACAGTTTGTTTTAATATTATAATTATGAATTTTGATAAGTTGACATCAGTATTTTTATTTGTGAGAATGCGAATTTTTTAATTTTTTAAATCAAAATATACTAAATTGACATTTAACATACTGAATAAAATGAAAAGATAGAGAGATTTTTGTTTCAAGCAAATGTGGTATATGTATATAGTCAAGCAAAACCCTTTAACGTGGAACAAATTTAATCATAAAGTCAAACCAAGCATAAATTAAATCCAACCTGACAGCTACAGGAATGAAGCTTGAATGGTGGTACAAAAGGGCGACAGAAAAATGCTAAGTGAAGAAAAACATTTTACTATAAAAGAGAAATATAACTTTATATGACACTATGCAATTTAAAATCTTTCAATAAATGTAGTATTTGAACAATTGTACGATATTAGTTCAAAAATCATCATCGTGTGTCCGGTAAGACGAATTATTCTATATAAATTAAATGATTCTTCAATTTCTTATAATTGGCTGATATTCAATTGACAAATGAATATAAAAATGTTAATTTAGCAAAATGTTATTTGTAAAAAATTGATTTCTTAATTATTCAGATATCAAATAATCTCTAATATATAACAAATATACAGTAATAAAATATTTATTAACAGAAATATTGATATATTGAGAATTGTAAAAAATGATATTCTATTTTTGTTAATAACACAAGGTTGCAATTACTTTTAAGCCTTTAAATTTCATTTTGTCGAGAAAATTTTAGTTATTTATTTTTTATTAATTGTCCGGAGTTTTCGCATGTATAAAGATCAAGAATCGAGGACAAGGATAATAGGATTAATGGTTTATAATCAAAATGAAGATTCACCATGCATGGATACCTACTGTGTCATTACAATTTAAACCGTGAAGCATATTTACAAACTACCAAGCAATAATTTATATTTCTCGTCGAATCGCGTGTCCATGAACGTTCAAGTTCATTTTTCTTAAATAGAATACGCACTATAAAGAAAGTACAAGGTGAATCATACTAATTTTATGGTGCTTTTGCACGCATCTACCCTAGTAAAAAATGAAGCATCGATTGTGATAATATTTTTATATATTTTATATACCATATTAACTACGTATGAATTTTTTGGAAATTAAAAATTTTTAATTTAATTAAGTAAAATTGATGTTAAAAAATAAATTTACCTTTCGATTTTTGATAATCAGTCTTCTAAGAATAAGTCCAACTCCAACAGCTATTGGAAAGACCACTAAAGTTGCTAAAATATAACTAACAACAGTTACAGTTTCTTGAGTAGCTAAAGTATCACCATCATGGCGTCTAGTAATAACTTCACTAATATTTATTAGATCCCTTGGATTTTCTGAAGTCATCTTAGGCACATAAAAAGATGAATTTAAATCTGGATTATACCTATTGGATTCTGACGAACCGATGTAATAATTAGGCCTATTTTTTGTTTTATTTCCAAAAGTATTAACTCCAATTGACCAATTGGTAGAATTTTGAATAACTTCCTGATTCACTTCTTGTTGATTTTTATTATTCTTTGTTATGTTTCCAGTCTTGCCATTCTTTGATTCAAAGTCTTGATCTCGTTCCTCTAAATGTATCACTTGACTCGTATTTTTTGTGATTATTTTTTCATTTGGATTCATTGTCATTTCAATAATTTTCGTTTTAGGACTTGTTAAAATTGTTTTAACTATATTTGCACCATTTGTTAAATTACTTTCTGTACCATTAAAAATGTTGGAAGTATTGTAAAGATGCATTATAGGAAGTATATCGTCTTTATCCTTGGTTTTATCTGATAAGTTTCGTCCTCTCACTTCAGGTGACCTTTCATTACTCTTCTTCGTGGTTATATCCATTTTCGGTTGAGAGGTCATTGGGTTCAGTATTGTCGTCGGAAGTGTCGTCATTGTTGGTTCCGTTTTCAAGGTTGTTTGTGATCGATACATTTTCTGAATTTCTGATGGATCAAGATCTTTGGCAATTCCAAATGGCCTATCAAGTATCTTTTCGCCTTCAATACTTAAATCCATTGTTTCTTCCTCTTTTTCAGTTTTCTGTGAATTATTTAACACTGACGGAGTTACGGGAAAAATCGGAATTGACTTACTAGTTGTTGCTGTTGTTGTTTTTATTATTGACGTTGTTGAAGTTAATGGCCTAATTGTTGGTTTTTCAATTACTGACGATGGCGAGGTTATCATTAAATTACCGGATCTATCATTCATAGTTATTTGATTATGTATCGAGACACTTGTGTTTCTTGATATTGCGCTAAAATTTACTTGATCATCACGTATTGTTGTAATACTATCATTCTCATTATCCTTTGGCTCATGAATTTGTATCTTTGGAGATTTAGTAATTATTTCGATTAATGAAATGGTTTTATTTTCTACCATTTTCTCCATCTTATTATTATCAATAGTTTTATTATTGATATTATTACCGCTATTATTGATGTTATTGAAGGGTAAAAAGTCAATTATTTTGTATCTTTTCGTCTCATTAGATAACGAATTATTTTTCTCTTCAGCATGAGGAGAATCATGAAATTTTTGCAAATCAAAAAGTTGTGATATAAAATCTTTATTTAAATTGTCGCTGACTCGTTGATTTAACACTGCACTTGCTGATTTTTTCAAGTATTTTTTTTCACTAATAATTTCTCCTTGAGTTATTTCTTCTGTTAAAGTATGGTTCCATTTTATTGTTGAGACTAATTGATCACTTATTTGAGTTTTATTAAGAATTTTTGTTGTACTCACAAGTGGGTTTGAAGTGTTGGGTTGAACTGTGGCGACGTGTTGCGGGAAAGTTGTACCTATTCTGCCGCGTTCTCCCACCAACAAGCTCGACGAGGAGGTACTGGATACAGCGGCAGTTGGAACAACACTGACTAGGCTGGGCGTGCGCGTCGACTCGCGAGTATTAACCATAGTAGAGAGAGGAGGAAATAAAGTCACTTTTTCATCTGTTCTGACTACCGTCGTTGATGTTGTCAACTTTGATATTGTAGATAATTTTTCAATTATCTTAGGCTCAGAATAATTACCAAGTAATCTTGTGACATTAGTAATAGTATATGCATACGGGTACATTTGTTGTGTTAAAGCAACAGATGTTACTTGGTTATTTGAAATAGCTACACTTGTTGGTACTGAAGACTCTGATGTTATTATGTCAGAAGTAGAAATGCTACTGATAGTCGTTGAAAATTCCTTTTGAACGGAAAAATTACCTGTATTAACGGTATTCCGGTAATTCTGGTCTTGTGAAGTCTCTATCGTTGGCTCTGTTACTATGATCCTTAAAGATGACGGTTGTCGATGAAGCAACGGAATAGTGGGTGTAGTTTGTTTATTGACTGAGCGTAATGTAACAAATTCTCGTAATGACAATGTCACTGGATCAGAATTAATTGATAACCAAGTAGATATTCTTTCCGGTTCAAGAGATAATTTATCTTTAATAAGTGAACTTGTTACGGTTAACATTGACTTGTTTAATAAATCATGAATTTCTGAAGAATACTCGGGAAATTTATCTATTTGCATTTTCTCTTTAAAAATCGTTGTTTTTGTTGTAGTTTTAGTTTCATAATCGACAACTCGATCTCTATGTGGAATAGATTCAATTTTTTCATTTTGTAAAAAAATTTTTAACTTATCCGATTTCATAATTGATTCGTCACTTTGGTATTCTTCACTATACGGAAATGATGTCGTTACATCATTAGAATTAGTAGTTTCACTCTTTAGCATATCATTATTTGTATTTGGATATTTTTCTTGTGAAACGTTGGTTGATACATTTACCTGTTGAGCTATATTACTTTTTACATTATCTATTTGATCATGAACACTTTTATTTGTTTCAATGACATTAGATCCAATAACTAATTCTGACAATTTATTTGATGAATTTTTTCTTAAATACAAACTAGTAGTTCTGAAGGCGTTTTTTACCTTTGAAATTTTATTTTTGTCAATTGTTGATTTATCTAGAGCAATATTCATTTCCTCATTTGTTACTTCTTCCAATTTAGAAATTGGTGTTGATAGGCTGATATTATTTAGGCTTTTTATAAGAAATCTACGGCGTAAATTAATAGATACTGGCGATGTTGAAGTTATTTCAACTGAATTATTGCTTGTAGTATTTTCTAGTCGAATTTTTTGACCAAAATATCGAAACTGTGTCATATCTTCAATAGGAATGTTACTTTCAACTGGTCTAAAATGGTTATAAAGTGATTCTGGCATTGCAACAGTATTTTTTCTTCTCGTAGAATCATCTGAATGTTTTTGAATTCTTGGAAAAAGTTGAGTAGATTTTTTTATTATTGCATCTTTTCGAAATCTTATTGTTGTATTATTTTGATCAATATTTGACACTGATGACTCTTGATTGTCTTCTTCAATGTTTATCTTAGATGTTGATTGATCTTGTAGATCTTCATCATTATCAACATTTACACGAGTTCGATTACCGGAGGAAGCTGTTACATAAATGCTGTGACGAGTTTCTTGAACTTCTAATAGATCTAGAGGATCTTTAGAAATATTTACAAGTACTCGAGATCCGATAATAGAATTATTAATAATACTTTTAGATACATTGAAACGTGATGAGCTTAACGATTGTCGTCGACGTAATGCCAAACGATTTCGAAAAATTTGTTCTCTTTTTGCCTTTGAAGATGGTGACTCTGCCTGTAAAGCCATCCTACTTTGACGATAATCAGATGTGACTCCATCTAAAAATAAAAAATTAAATAGAACAATCATTATTATATTCCATTCTAACCAATGTAAATATAATTGTTGTTTTGTTATTTAAAAAAATATTATTCATTAATTTTTGTTTTACTAATTTTTTTTTTGTCTAAGTTCAACGATGTTATTATTACAATAACGAAAAAAAAAATAATCGCACTTTCCAGTTCCTACTGTTTTATGTCATACCACTAAAATTTTACGTTACACTTATTATATACATGCTCTGACTATTATACATATTTCAGAAAAAACTATTCTAAAGTTCTTGAACTCTGCTTGATGTCACACTTTGTATCAGCTATCTGTCAAATATATTACTGACCATTGAGAAATTAAATGCCAAATAATAATTTCAATAAAATTACAGATTAATTCAATAAATAATAATGAAAAAAATCAGTATTTAAAAACTATATATAATCATTGAGTTGAGACCAAATAGAAACGATATAAGATAAAGTATTATTATCAGTATTATAATATAATTGCATTATTAAGTTTATTACAAGTCTCTTTAATTACCACAACCGCAAATAGGGCAACACTCTATTTCACAAGTAACTTTAATAAGTCAATGTTCTTATTTGCGGTTACTCAGATTACATTAAAAAAATCATGTTTTGTATCAAAAAAAATTCTATTCTTGATTATAACATTCTTTAATAAAAGAATAATTTATATACGACATATAATACAAATAAAGTCAGAGTAAGGAAAGTAGTGACACGTGATGATATCAGAAATTTCATTTTGCACAAAAATTATTCTTTTACTTGAGAATACTATGGTAAAAAGTGTAATGATTTTTAATCCAAGAATATTATTTTGTCTATGTGTATCAACTAAAGTAAGTTTTTAAACAAATCTGTTATGTAGGTGATAGGTTTTTGTTGACATTATAGAGATGTACATACTATCAATTGTATAACTTGTTAAATTATTTATATTTATTTGAAAAAAAAAATTTATATTATTTTAAATGAAGAAAACGAAAGAAAAAAAATGGATTTAAAATATTTCATGTACTCGTAATAAATCATATAATACAATAGGAGATATATCAAAAAAGTTTTAGCAATGACGCATTTATATTTTTTTGCTCATCACTGGTTTTCTTCATGGTCATCGTACAATTGTACGTATGTATATAGTATTGTTATCCAGGACACTGGCTGATGTTGGTTATATTATATAAACACGTATATACATTTAGTTTACTGTATATATATATATATATATATATATCACTATCAAGAAAACAGGAGCAATACTGACCTTACTCATACACGTGTTCACGTAAAATATTACAGACCTTTTATGCAGTCACGTTGCTGCGATAACCTGACCAGTTGACTTTAAAAAACTTCAAGTAAAATTTTTTTATTTCGAAATATATATATATATATATATATATATATATATATATATTATAAAAAAAATTAATTTAATCAATTATTGTTCATCCAATCCACATTAACTTTAATATACAATTTCGTAAAGGGCTCATGTCTAATATAATAATATAAAAAATTTATCTTTTTCAAAATTGCATATTCATTTCATTTATTCTATTTATGGAAATAAAAAAATAGTTTTCAATTCTTTAAGCATAAATTAACATTTGAGAGTTACTTTTTTGTTCTTTACGTGTATTAAATTATACACGCGATATCACTTTTTTGTGATACTTATCTCAATGTTTGTTGGTCTTCATGGAGCGTATATCCGTTTCCGGTATCAAATACAATGCATATTACTGGTCGGAGGACATTTTAGTCATTGAACATGCATAACTTGATGATAATTATATAAGTTAATTTGTGATCAATAAAACTTGGGTTTAATTTTATTTATGCCTAATAAAGAAAAAGGAATTTACGTTTTTTTCATTCGGTAATCGATAATGATTAAAAATATTTATTTTATATGATGCAGAACATTAATTTTTCATTCTTTTAGTTAAAACTTATTTTTGATATTAATTATATATAAATACCATTCGAATGATTACCAATATGATGATTTATCAAAATTTGATGAATTATCTTTAATACTTTTTAACAACAAAAAGAATATAATAATAATCAGTGTCTTTCCTTTTTTCTTCAACTGAAAACTTACATATAATGATGCAAATTGATTGGAATGACTGCCAATAAGTAAAATTATTGATATATAATATGTTTACTAAAAGTAAATAAAATTATGCAGCATCTTCCTTATAAAACGAGACATTTTATTCATAAGTTTTTATCTTATGCATCGTTACCTCAATTGCATTACACAATTTTTAGATTTCAGATTAAAAACAATAGAGTCAACATCCTGGAAAAATCTTCCGGGCATTCTTGAAGTTGCTCTAGAGATTCCAAGTTTTCATGCGAAATCTTTTGTTTTAATGATTTGGATAATTTTTAATATAAAATGTAGAGACATTTGATAATGTCAATCTCTACTAAGAATAGACGGAAAAATTTTTTTGTTTGTCAATAAAAAATAAATTATGATAGCTCTACAAACATGATTTATTGATAAACTTTGCCCTGCACTGGTAAGTCCATTTTTTTCGTTGCAACTGTTTAAAAAATTTTTCCGTTCACAATATAGAAATTGATATCGTTATAAAAGCTCATTTCTAGAATGATGCAAATGATAAAATAGTTTTTTTTTTATAAAATACTAGTCATGTTTTATACTCGAAGGTGAATGAGCGCACTTACAGATCACGATCAAGATCATTGACTTCTCGCAGATGTAATACGATCTTCTCGAGACTCCTCTACTCTTCTATTCTGTGATACATACTATCGTGATAATTACAATAATATAATATTCTATTATCTCTGATTCACTATTTACTTAAATTATACTTTTTTGCCTCATTAGCTAAGGTTATCAAATAAAATATAATAATAAGTTTGATTAAATCGAAAAATTTTATTTTTACAATAAAATAGTAAAACTGAATGATTTAAAATCATATTGTAAAATATTAGATACAGACAACAGATATTGAAAGAAGAAAGTTGATTAAATGGACAAATTCAAATACAGAATCTTAAATATGACGTCTAATCAGAGATAGTTTCAGTTATAAACAAAACTAAAAAAACCAATCGCGCGTTGATATAAACAAATTCTGTCTTTCGTCAATTCATCTATAGATGGACACACATTGATTTTACAATATATATGATATGGTAAATATAATTTTACAGCTGATAAATAATTTTCTCATGCTTTATTTGATTCTGACAGAAACAAGTCTTTCACATAACGGTACAGACAAGAGGTTTATCGCAAGCAACAGAACGAAATATCACTGAATAACTTTGATTCTCAATATTGATAACGAATCAACAGCTCTTCCTGGTATGTATTAGTACATGACATTATAACAGCATTTTAACCGGTTTTACTTAATCTATATTTTTATGTAATGTTATTTTCGTAGTTGGCAAGAAGTAAAATAAAAGTGAAAGTCCTGGGAGGAAAATGGGTTTTGAGGTGATGATGTCGTCGAAATTCAATAGGTGTGGCCCAATTTATATAGTGATAGGGTGAAACGAGTCTTGTTGTGATTAAGAGAGAGAAAAAGAACCAAAACACGTCGCATACTGCCAAGGTTCAACATCAAGATCACGGCCACTTCTCTAAGTTGCCGCGTTCACCGGACAGTTATTCGCGGTCAACGCTCGAGCGCAATTTCCGATAATCGTTTCAAATGCCCGCAGGCTCTATTTTTTTCCATCTATACGTTTTTCAGCCTCTCGACTTCTTATTTTTCATCTCATTGTCATGGCCAACATGTTTTTTTCTTAATATTATTATTATTATTATTATTCACGAGAAAAAAAAACCAATATTCTCTTGACTACATGTAAAATAAAATTTGAAAAATTTTTATTCAATGATTAAAAATAACTAAAAGAAAAAAAAAAATTTTTTTTCCCTAAAAATTAATAAAATCTTGGATAAATAGTAATTTTTGAACTTTTTATAGTAACAAAATAGAAGAAAAAATATATATTAAAGAGTTTAAAGGGCATCCTTTTTTTTCTTAAAAAAACGATTGTTACGGAAGTTGTCATTGAGATGCATCGATTCTAGAATAATCCAGTATCATTGGCTGTGTATGGTGATAATTTACAAGTAATCTTCTTCCGACATGCAATGGGTTGTAGCTTAATGAGACCACGTGGTTGGTTTGTATGTTACGTAGAAGATAACGTGCCAGAGAATAAACTAATGTATAAAGAGAGAGATAAATAGATATATTGATAGAGAAAAGATTAAACAAAGAATCAACTTGATTCCGGATTGGTCAATCGGCAAAAGATATAGGAAAAATCGGCACTGTATTTTTTTTGCAAAAGAATCACAAACAATGTGAATCGATGCCTATTGTATTCTTTCATACATGAAACCTCTTGAACCTCCCAGCGCGACAAGGTGAAACATTGGTATATAGAACTCCAACTATTCTACGAAGTCAATATAACTGTTGATTAGTGATATTATTTTTGAAATTGCGAAAAAATTAATAAATATTCTTGCATTTTTTAAAATTATAATTATCCATCTTCATTTATATATATAAATGTATTGTTTTGTAATGAATAATTTTTCTTATTTAAAATGATTAAATTAAACGTTAATATTATCATTAATTATATTTCATATTATTTGGTATAATTTGAAGCGTTTTATAGAAAATAAAAAAAAAAAAATAGAGAGTTGATTAAAAATGAATATGAATTTGCATTTATTTGTAAGAAATGAAGTAGTGTCTACTTGGAATTGCGAACAGAGATTTAACGACTCGATGAAGAAGAAAACAAGTCATCCGCTGCGACGTCGATCCGCATTCCGGGAGTGACGTTATAATAAATGACCGATTTGCATTGCGGATGGATGCTACTGTCGATTTGAATAACTGTCCTCCTGTATATATTTAACATTTTTCCCTTACTTTAAC